AGAACCCCCCAAAAATCAGATTACACACTTAAATGCATGTAAACATGATGTACATGTACCTATAGGGTTGCAGACCAGTAAATCGGTCCGAAATTGCCTTCGCCGGCCAAATGACGATTTGCATGCCCTCAAAATCTTCAGTATTTGAGCATGCTGTGGGCCATGAACTTGAGGGTTTGTAAAAAATATGGGTGGAAGCCGTGCACAGGACTGTGAGCTTGTAGTTCCGTTCAATTTGGATGAAATTGGGGCCCTTAAAGCGCTCTATTTTTCAATGGAGTGTAGGCATCGTTTTTCAACATGGCGATGGGCTTCAGGACTATTTTCAGGGGTGATCATCTTCGGGTGGACATTTCTCCTCTAAAAGTCATCAGTTGACCCCCCAGAAAATTGAAAAGAAAATGAGAGATGATGAAAAAAGCTTTAATTTGATGTGTGTCTCGAACACCTTGGAGAGTTGTGAGTATTTTTCCCGAATTTCTGAAGTGTGAGCATTTACCATTGGGGCCTATTGAAGTTTATTTACTGGTCTGCAACCTTAATATTAAGTGTTCTTAACGTCATTAGCCCTTCGCATGACAGCATCTTGTACCGGTAAGTGCAGTACTTTTGCTGTTCAGAGATCCCACATGTACATTCTCATGAGCAGACTTTTTGTGCACAAATTAAAAGATTACTGAAGTATGCAATGACAGGGTCTATCACTGGGTACTTTAGGCAAAGTATTAACAACATCAAACAAAGGGTTCATTCTGTTATGGTTAATACCAGAAAATGAAAATCTATAGAAGGGCATTTGATTGATTTTGAAGCAGATGGCCAAGGACTTGAACAAAACCCTGTTCTACCATCTGAAAAAAGGGTTCTCTGGAGATGAACATATGTGATTAATCTATCTAGGCAAAGCGAACAAAGATGGTTGAAGTGGATTAGAAACAGTTTTTACATGTAAATTTGTACATATGATATGTGATGGGGAGGACAAATATGTGTCAAGTGACACATTTTTGGAAATTTCCGTTTGTAGTTGGTTTGTAATTGGGCGAATCCATGAATGGGTGCAAGCGTTGACACGATGCACACGCATGCACAGCTGCCTATGTTCAGTGTGTGACACTGCGTGGCTACAATCGGCTAAACGAGATCATGTCCCGAATGTTGAATTTTGGGATTTTATCAAGAGAGGGCACAATTCATAATATGATATCTATGGCAACTTTTGAACTGAAATCCAGATCCAGAATATTGCGTTTTCTCGAAATATACAGCATCCACAGAGCTAAAACTTCATCAGGTTTAGTTGCAAAACATATTTGTCTTTATAGATTTTGAGCACTCTTGTTGTTTCAAACGGAAGAAAACATTCACAAATGGTTCAACCTGTAAGACTCTTCACAGGAGGGGAACCTTTTAGGGGTTGAGCACTGTAAACCCTACAAGTAAAAGGCCTATATCCCCTTCCCTTCCCTGACAATTAAATACTTAGAATCCCACCAACTTTAATGCCACCATACCAGCTCTACATCAGGGGTGTTTGCTCTTGGGATTCCCCACACCATTCAAGAAGCTGAAACTGAACAACAAAATAACAGTGATTCCTTGGAAAGCCTTGTGGTATCAGCTGGGCAGCAAACAGATCAAGACCCAAGTCACAGGGGTTGCTAGTAACAGTTGCCACAACTGAGAACCAATCTAGGCCACAATACTTTACCCCTTTAGCACTTGTAGTACATTGTACTACATTCTATTACATTGTGTTACACTGTATTACTTTGTAATACACTGTATTACATATGTACATACTTTGTAATACTGTACTTTGTATTTACTCAAGGCTTGGGTTTTACAGGAATGGACCAGTTATACAGTTTTTTTTAGAGAACAGAGGGGAGCCTGTATTATTTTATTGGGAGGTTGATGCCCCTTGAACAATGTGACAACCAGTTCCTCAAAACTCCTTTTTCCAGGGCTCATCAGGAAGAATTGTCCAGGAGAATAATAATGTAGGATGTAACCCAAGGGATGTAATGGACCCCATGCACTGCTAACAAGGAGACTGCTAGAAGAAAACTCCAAGATTTTAAACATGGTGTCCATGTGTAAACCCTGAACCTGCAAGCCTACAAAAGTCCAACCCGCTCCTTTTGTTTGCCAATGCCTTCGGTGTGAATGTCCTATGAAGGCATCCCTACAACATCGTCCAACCCCAATCCATGACTGTACAGTGCAGACATGTAGGGCTTCTTCTTGTCAAAGTTTGAGCATCTTTTCTGGTTAAGGTTGACACTAAGCCCCATTAGTCTGACATTTTGTCAGCTTGTTGCACTTTTGGTTTTTCGCTGTTTGCAAGGAGATCAAAACTTCTCTGTTGTACAAACATGCACTTTTTAAAAAATTCCTGTTTACATCAGTGATGCATCAAATGTGTAAACAAGCAGACACAGTATATACTTCTTGAACAAAATTCATAGCCACAGTTTCACAATCTGTCAGTTTATTTCAGAAATCAGTTACAATGACAAAAATACGGACAATAAGAAAGGGGAAGCTGGGATACACTTGACGTTCAATAGCTTTTGCTGAAACATTTGTACACTGAACTGACAACTTAAATTGGAACAAAAAAAACCACAAAAAACTGACTACAGCAGGAATCGAACCTCCGCTATACAGCGTACCCCAAAGTTTTTGTTCTAGAGCCTATTTTTTGACACAAAGTCGGGAGTCATTTTGTCCCAAAGAATTACTACACCACATCCACAAATTTGACTTAATTGGAAAGAGAAATTAATTGTAAATGTAGTAATACCCACGTGAAAGATGTGAGCTTCACAAAATAGGCTCTGCAGCAAAAACTATACTGGACCGAATCGGGAGATCTTGGCAACAGATTTCTTCTAAAAAGATTCTCAATCCATTGGTACAGGTGGTTTGAGTCTCAAGTTAGTGGAAGTACATGTATGCCATTCTGGTTTTTGGGGCCACCCTATCTAATACTGTACCCATATGTTCTACCATGTGAGCTGTCCATGTGTCGGTAGCCATCCAACTTGTCAATGTCTTTTGTTCAAATGCCCTTACATTCAGTCGGAAAAACCCCATTCCTATTGGTTCTGGAGGTCAAATGTGTCTTTGTTCATCGGGAAATCAATTAACCCAAACACCTGCTGCAGATTCTTTAGAACCCTAAAGAATCCAACAGAACCCCAAACTTCAAAGTGTGAAGCCGGCTGTATCTAAAAGAAATTGCCTTTTATTGGAATAAATGAAACCTTTTGCCCCATTTGAGACAGATAGCCCTAGGTACCCCCTAGAGTGCGAAAGACCATTCCCTTCCATTGTTTGTAAAAAAAATCAAATCCAAAAAACTCTTCCCCACCAGGTTTAGCTGTAAAGACCCACACATGTAGACCTCCACGGTGGCCGGTGGCCGATCGTGTCAATATAAAAGGGAGGAGAAAATCAAATGGAATGTTTACAGATGATTAACCAAGGTGTACAAATATTCTGATATGGTTGCCTTCGGTAAATTTGTACAAAACAGACCGGCATGCCTGACAAACAAGCTACTGTATGGTGGCGTGTGTGCGTAACTAGGAGCAGCCCAGCGTAGCCAAACTAGAAATGTCACTAATAATCCAGCGCAATGCACTGGAAGATTAATTGAGCTACGTTTGTAAATAAAAAATTTGAGAGAGAGAGTGGGAGAGATCGGGAAAGTGGAGGATACACACATCATGTGCAATATCCAGGAAAAGAAATGACCGATATTCAAAAGAAAGATCTCTTTTAATTTTTTTTTTTCCTTTTTTTCCACTGTAGGTTAATAGCAAGACCACACTGTATTTAGCCAGCCCATTCCTCTTCCACCCTCTCCTCAGAAATAGAACAGATAAAAATTGATGCATTTGTGGGAGGGGATGGGAGTGTCTGTTGAAAGTAGTGGTGTGGCAAGGGGGGGGGGGCAAAACTCCTCCCCTCCCCCATGACCCAAAACAATGGGGAGGAGGGAGAAGGGAAGGGGGTTAGCCGCATCTAAGGATCAATGACCTGGGGCCAATTTCACAGCACTGCTAATCACAACAATTTGCTTAGCACAAAAAAAGTCTGGCTCATAAAAGCAGGTTACCAGCCAGAACTCAACGTGATGTATTTTCTCGTGATTAGTATTCAGCTGTTGTTTGTTTTGCATGAAATCACATGGAGTTTTGGCTGATAATCTGCTTTTACAAGCCGGACTTTTTTTGTGCTAAGCAAACTTTTGTGCTCTCCGCACATGGCCTGCTTGGGTGTGGCGTACTGTATCTGGACGTGGTTGAAACTATCAACACTGCCATCACCACTGCTGCCGGCATATTGAAATTTTGGGAAATTTTTTTGGGTAACCCCTCCCTCCCCCCCCCCCCCCAAGAAAAATTCTTGCTACGCTACAGTTCTAAACATCTGCACATAATACAAGAAGAGTCTACTGTGCACTAGTGTACACAGGCAGCAAGGAAAACCACAGGGCCTACGGTGCTGCAATGGGCCTTAAACTGCCGGTTCTTTATCTAACAGAACTCAACCCATCAAACCCCAACAGCATATTTTGTTGGAATCTGTCAGGATGGGTACAGTACCCCTAAACTGACAGTCTTTTACATTGGGTTGGCACACCTCCAGAAACTAAGTCAGAAATGTGTGTGCAATTTCCCATATGGTGTTGGAAACTGCCAGGATGGGTATATGGTTCCTGGTAAATCATTCTAGGGAGTTAGGGTTAAACAGTTTTTAAAAACTGTTCTCATGTGACAAGAGCGTCCCTGTTAGCCAATAGGATGAACATTTCACCTTGATTATCCTTGGCTTAACCATCAACCCTCTTCTGCGCTGTCACTTTCTCAAGTCATTAGAATAGTTTCTAACATTTCAAGTGCACTTGTTTCCACAGTTCTAAAAATAATTGATCCAACCAAAAATATTCCCCTCATACAATAAAATCTATCAACATGAAAACGTACCTGATTATCCCAATGCGACTCATGTCCTTACATGTATTTTATTTTAATCCACTTCCTTCACGCGACCATGAATCCTGAAAAAAATTCCTGCACTGCTGAATAGCTCTCGGTGTAACCAATCTATTCCTATTCAAAAGGTGTCTGTAAAGTACAGTGGCGTTATCATTTTTCACACTGGTGGCATAAGCGTCGAGTATCTCCCGGACAACATTTCAATGCAATACCTTCCTTGGCTCGTATAGATGACAAAGTGAGGCAATACCGAACCGATTAAAGCACTGAATACCCTCCATCAGTGTCTGCCCCTGGACAATATCGCACCTAATACCCATTCAGCTATTGTCATAGGCTAATAAAGTAAAAGGGTAACATGTCCTTTCAGTTGAAGTTTCTTTGTGGATGGGCGCACACCTAAAACTTGTAGTGGTGCAGCCCATTCAGAGCTAATAAACGGGTGAGTTTTTGCAGGGTGATGAGAGTGATTCATTTAGTTTGTAGGGGTGTCCAACTTTTGACATGAGAACTCACTGGAATTCAGGTACACACGTCTGCTTGATAAACATATCCACAGATTGAGCTATTATGCTTTACAATTTCCAGGTACAGGTAAACAAACCAGTTCAATTTTTTTAATAATTTTTTTTATCATTTTCTATTTTTTTCTACTGGATAATGAAGCGCAGTAAAAAAAAAAATATGTTTAGCGTCCTCGCCCGCTTCCTTTTTTGGCGGCCGCTTGGAATTTTTTTTTTTTTTTTTTTAAATGCTGTTATAGCAATGATTTCTCACCTCATATGCATGTGGAGCTTTGCAGTTAATATTTCTGATATTTAATCCTGGGATTTGTTTTTCGTAACTCGCCGACAATTCATCGCCACTTGCCGGTTGTTTTAGAAGTGCAGGACTGCATTGGTCTTTGATGGGGAACGAGTGAGACAAACTTTTTGAAAGCGGGTTCTGAAAGTTTTCTCAATATTTCTAATGGATTTCATTAAAACCTTTTCAAATTTTCGGGAGCTGCACACCATTTCCAATTGCTGTGAAAATTCATACGAAGATAGGAATCCTGATTTGAATAGACAAATCAAATGTTTAATAAATAAAAAAAAATAAACATTTTTGTGAGAACATAAATGCAGGCCACATGGACAAGAATGCCCGCGTGGCAGTGTTTTTTAATTCTTGTAAAACCATGCTAGAAAACTATTAAAAACACTGTAAATATGTTTAATTCTCTTGTCCAGCATGTCTGTTTCATTTTTTGTATCTTTGAACAGTGTAAAAAACCAACGGTTGTCGGCTATCTTGAAAATAAAAAATTTAAAAAAATAAAAATAAAAAGCCCCGCCTTCCCTTTTATTTTTTTTAAAACCCGGACGCTAAACATGTTTGGTTTTTTTATTTGGCCTAAAAAATAATTTCTTTGAATTAATTTGAAATAACCCCAAAGGCATCTCACTTAATTACAGTGTAAATACCACCACACTAAAATTGTTCTGTCAAAATTTGCAATCAATATAAAATGGATGAAAACAAATGGACTTCAAAATTAGGGAGTTGTGACTACTGAAGAGAAAGTCCGTGTACGTAGCCTGCTAAGTGTACTAAGTACTAGCAGCCAAGGAATCATTAGTCCAAAACTTTGGGACTCTAAATATATTGTTGATGTACCCTAACGTGGCGCGGCCCCTAACGTGGCGCACTTTGATTTTTCGCCTGTAGCGCCTAGCTAGAGCAAAAGTTTTAACTGAAATTTCACAGAAAGTGAAATTTCATAAAGTTATAAACACTCCCGTTCATAAATTGCGAGTTTATTTACCCGCTACAAAGTTAAAAGAAAAAATTATTTTGGCGTGATTTTCCGATTTTATTTTCAAGTGCAAAGTGAACCCTTTGAAAATGCCCCGCAAAATAAGAAAATAATTTTGTGACAAACATCTGGCTGGGTTATGTAGGTAGAGATAATAATGATTTATCAGAATTTATCAAGTTTACAGAAATTCTTAAATGTTAATTTGGAATTTTCCGAGATTTATTTAAGTGCGCCACGTTAGGGAACACTCCGCCAAATTGTGCCCAATTTCCGGACGCCACCGTTTTTTAATTTCCGCTTAAATTTTATGAAACCGAAATTGTTCACAGAGGTTAAACAGCAAGCATTAATAAGGTAAAAGTACCAGTATTTCACTGCATGAATTTGAGGTTTGTCAACAAAGAGGTTTGGCAACACTACACGAGGAAATTTGGGTAAGCTTCGAAGTGCGCCACGTTAGGGAACACGACTATACTGTGTTTAAGATCAGAGTTCCAAATCTTAAAAATATGCAATACAAGAAAATAGACTGGCACATGAAACTACCAACCATGCAGTCAAACACCCTTTTACTGCATCAATCAACTGTGTCAAAAGAAACATCCGGTACCCAGTCTCTATTTCTACACATTTTCATAATCATGCCACCAGACTACTGAAGGGTCAACCTTCTCAAAAAGACACATCACTTGACTTGGCAAAGTCTCTGGTCACTGGTGAAAAATGTTGAAGAAAAGTCTCCTTTATTATATCACGGAGGAAGACATAGATTGACCTCAAACTTGGCTGGTGAAAAACTGAGGACCTCGCCTTGTCTTTGCCTCATGAAAATTTTGGAGAATTTTGTCTGCTAAAGAGTTACTATTTAGTTGGCCTGATTTTGTTTTGCACGTTTTTCTGCACTCAACATGCTCGCAAGGTGACGGTCCCAGTCGGAGCAGCTGAGGACATGGAGGAGGAATGTAGAAGCTGAAATTGAGGTTAAACTCAAGAATCAAACAATGTTTTCATTCTTTAAATTACAAGCTCAGTTAATCCAACGGAAACGGACAATCAACGCTGAATACTTACCTGTCATTAGTCAGATGTATGGTCGAGCAAGTCCGGGATTATGGGCACATGTAGAGTAAAATCGTCGACAATTTATGAAGCAAAATTTATGAAGCAAAATTATGGAGTTCAGCTCGCGCTCGCTTCATATCCAGCGTGAGTGTGTTTTTAATTTTTCGCACATGGTATAACAACAGCGCCCTCTTTTGTTAAGATTCGCAAGCGACAACGATATTAAGCTTGCTGTTGTTACCCGTTGCTTTCATAAATTAAAAAAAAACTTAAAAGTTCATGACAAAAATAAAATTCGGGCAGTAAAAATTCAACCCATTTTCGTCTGACACATCATTGATGACAGTTTTTACAAACTTTTGTCTAGACCAGGACAATTTTTTTTTAATAGGTTTTTAATTATTGTCCGAAGATATAAAATGAAAAAATAGCACCCCCCCCCAAAAAAAAATTGACCCTGAAAACCGTCGATCCTGAAAACACGTGCGACTTTTTCGACGTGATTTCCGGAGCCGTTTAAGCACTCCATCCATAACAAAAATTAAACAGTTGTCAGCACTTCCTCTTATTTTGTTTTATTTTAAAATTCTCATATAGGGGGCCTACATACTTTCTTACCAATAGGTTTGAAAATTTTGGACAAACTGTGACAGAACACCTATCATGTTAAACCATTCTTTGAAAAAAAATCATTGTTTTCTTTGATTATTGTAAAGACGTCCTATAAAAGTCATAAATCAAGCAAGTTGGATAGTATTGTATGCGCCTAACAATTTATTAGCATTACAACATAAATCATAATTTATCATATAGTTATCCCGTTGTCGCAATTGGTAATTTCATCATATCACAGTACGGGTGGCCGTGGGGTCGCGCAGGCCGTCAACAAAAATGATAATTATCATCAACCCTGGAATCATCACTTATGTCGAGTACATGTCAGCTGTTCCATCACCGCATGGTAGATGCGCATAATGGTGTCTGCCTCACGATCAGTGGTTGAACACCGATGAGATTAGGACAACATCGAACACTTGCTATGCTCTCAGCGTATAGGGGAAATAGCTATTTGATGCATAATTTTTCATTTCATCACCACCATACCAGTTAAGTAATTGTCAACCTGCGTCGCACGATAAACCGTATAGTCTGGCTTCCGAGATATGCTGAGAAAGGGGCTGGTCAATCGTGCATCTTGATCGTGAGCAATCTGAAATCGAACTTGGAGACGTTTTATGCCGTACCACGCTCCTTCGGTCGATCGAGTCATCATTTTGCACGAAGGATCGCATCAGACTCCGACGACCGGGCAATGTTAAATACTTCCGTACGTAATAAGCTAGGCCATCAATCGACGTGCGTGTGGACGGACGCCTGTATTTCTTTTGCGTTGTGTATGAGGGAATTTGGTGTAACATTCAAACCAGAGGGCATCACGCACAGTTTGTTGGATGTACTGATTCCAACGGATGTAAAGGTAAGGAATACTGACAAAATTGATGCGATTTTCATCCTGTTGTTGCCTTGACAACCCTTCATCTTCTTGCCTCTTGATCTTCTTCTTGGCCAATGTCATTCTCATCAGTTCATTATCACCTCGCGGATGTTATCCACTATGGTTTGAGATGTTGGCACGAATTGAGAAGGGATCATAATTTATTCAAAGATGCACGTTGTTTTGAGTCAAGCTGAGATGTCCGGGGGTGTTCAAGATTTCTGTATACCAAGTCACACACAATAATTGCTGTACCAGCTGTACGCAATAATATTTATGTATAGCATTTTGATTGTTCGGTGTGCTATTCGAGGACAACACGACTATTAATCCTCAAAGATGTGTCGATCATCATTCAGTTGAAATTATATACCGTAATTAATGAAACGCAACATGCCATAAATGGGTAGAAGATTTGAGACGGAGTGATAAAATAAATCGAGAGAATAATTATTTCAGTTCGTGAATTTTAATAAAATATAAATAATTTTCATTTTGGTGAATTTTTTCAGAAGTATTTCAAGTGAGCTCTTCATCGTTTGCTCTTCCCTTTTGTCATCCCCATTGCCCAAATCTTTTTTTTTTTCTGTTGATATTCCCTTACAGATCTTTAAAAAAAAAATCTTCCTACAGAAACCATTTTAAGTTCAATCTCTAAAACTTCCGCAATACACATGTTCAACATGGCCGAGACTGTGGAGAACCAGCAGCACCATCACCAACATCATCACCACGATCGCCGTAAGACTCACCACTACGACCCGCTCCCGATCTGCGTCCTCTTACTCCTCCACCTGGCCCGCGTCATGCACGCTGCCGGCGCGCCGGGCATCTCCGAGATACGCATCGGGGCCATGCTCAGCACGGATGAAGACACGGCCACGCTGCAGGAGGCCGTGCGAGAGGTTAACGATAACAGTCTGATACTGCCGGGCAACTATCAGCTCAACGTCACCTCTATCGTCATGACCACTAACCCTATCGAGTCGGCCATAAGGGTCTGCGAGAAAATCATACCAAACCAGGTATTGCAGAGTTTGTTTAAAAAGCTTGTAGGCCTACCTGATAAGCTTACTTGGCCTTGGGTGGGACTCGAACCCACGACCTCTTTGTTAGTAGTCTTGCAATCGACCATATAACTTATAGCTTGCGTCGGTGATGGGCAAAACCCAATATTGAATTTACATCAGCCAGAAGCCAATTCCATGTTATGAATAAATCTGAAAAGGTTATCTGAACCCTTTTTTCAGCCTTGAACAAATATTTACAGAAAGTTTTGTTGCCCTGAAACATGGGCGTCGCCAGGAGGGGGCAAGGGGGGGGGGGGGCAAAAAAAGCGGAAAAAGGAGAACAAAGGAGAACAAAAAAGATGGGCGAAGTCATATTGCTGTTAATCTAATGCTCATTTAACAACATGGGCGTCCGCAGGGGTGTTAATGGGGATGGGATGGGCAAATGTTTCCCACCCACCCCGGAAAAATGATAAATTGAGAATATGCTAGAAAAAAAGGACAAGGATTTTGGGAAATAATGTGCTTTGCCCCCCTCTGGAAACAACCCTGGCAACGCCCATGCCCTGAAATCGTTCCAAAAGGTTTTATACTTATTTCGCCATGAAAAGTGTTCAAAAGACCTCTAGAAATATGCTTTCCGGTTCCCCGGAGAAACCCTGCGATTCTCCCCGCTGGTTAAAATGTTCGTTTCCTATAAAAAACAAAAAAAATGAAGCAGCGGAAAACGAGGTCACCATAATTTTGTTACAGCCGTTTCTGGTCCACACGATGTCACAAATTAAGAAATGATTAATTTCCCCTGACTCCATCAGGTGTACGCCGTAATTTCCGGTCATTCGCCGGAGCTGTACATGTCCTCGGTCTCCGTGTCCTATACGTGCGGGTTCTACGGTATACCTGTCATCGGCATCTCGGCAAGGGAGTGTATTTTCTCGGATAAGGTAAGGTTTTAAAAAGAAATTGAAAGATTAATTTCATATTTTTTTTTTCATGCTGCAATGCTAATATATACAGACCACAATCTTCTGTACCATATAGGCCTATGTAAAGTTTGACTGCAACTGAACATGCTGTATTAATATTTCCAAAGAGTACATATCAATTAAAGGGCTCATGTATCTTTTTTTAAATGCAATCCTTGGAAATGCACATTTGTGTCCTGTTCACCTTTTTTTTTCAATTTTTGTTTTGCCTTTTCAAGGGTATAATATTTTGGTGCCTTTTTGTTTCATGCTAATGCGAATTTGCATATTCACGAGCAAAAGTGTGATGTCATTTCGGGCAGAAACCTCAATGTAAAAGCTATATTTCGGCACAGAAGTTGCGAGAAATTTGGATATTTCTCTGTTGTAAATGTTCTATCTTATAGGCCTAAAGTGATTTTGTACTCTAAATCGTCTGTTCCTTATTTCAATGAGTGGACCACTCACTGAAATAAGGAACAGACGATTTAGTAGAGTGGAATCCCACTCCTTGTTTGAATGAATGATGAGGGCAATAATACTTAGATTATGTTCCATTTAATAAATGGAAGTGTGGATTTATTTTCCTCTAATGATTACACAGATATCAATTTCAGTCTATTGCAAACAGCAATTTCAGTTGAAAGAAAAAAAGACATTATTATTACAAGACTTGAACTTTTAAGAATGTATCGCACGATCGGGCTTAGTGGACATAATGATGAAGATGGAGTACATGAGCGTGATCGAATAAATCACATTAGTCTTCTATAGGTATCTGAGCATTACACAACAAGTTGATAACAAATCACGGGGTTGTGAAAGCGCTGAAGGCACTGTGAATTTGTTACATAGAATGAAAGAATGTCACAATCAGATCAAATTAAAGTCCAACAACCACACCAGCGCGAAATTATAACACCCGATAGACCACTATAAGGATGTCCCTTTCATCACAAACATTCGCATTTCCACGATCTCTTCCACAAATCAATGCTATTACACGCCGTCAGTATTTCATAAACAGATTTGCGTGCATTCCTTGCCTAATGAGTAATTCCCATGCATAGAAAAATCAATGGGCCGTGTAAATTATACGCCTGTATTCGATAGCATTATTTCTGCATGACAAAAACAGTCACTTGGTAAAGGGTCTCGCGGAGACATTTTCCTTCTGCCATCCATGCCACTGAACCATGCACCTTTTATTCCACACACACGCATCCCGGCCGTCCATTACACGGATGCATTCTTCTCGGGAGGATTTGCTTTTCCTCCTCATTTCCTATGCCCGCTCCCCTATCTTGCCATGTACCCGTCACCCTACAGTCTCTCTCTCTATTCTTGGGTACGTCTCATACTCACCTTTCTCCGGGAGGAGGGGGGGGGGGGGGCATTTGTCCCCACGGCCTCGGGGCTGTGGGGATAATCGCCCACCACCATATCTGTCCCTCGCCTGACTATATGATAATCAGGAAGGGTTGCTTTACAAAGGTTGTATATACCGGGTCCTTGTTTTTATTTGTGAGATGAATTAAACACTGAACGAGATGGAAGAAATTAGCTCTGGGAGTTATGTCGTGTTTTGCCTGCTCGATTGATGAAAGACACGAATCGATATAATCATGGGTTGTGGTGAGGCTCATGAAAATTGGAAAGACCGAAGAAACGGTTCCCTTTTGATTAAATGAAAAAATCTCTCAAAACATAGCCTCTTTAATTCATTCATTCATTCATTGTTTACCAATTTGTCATGTTATACAATGTGCGTTATTCCCCTGAGTTGTAATAATGAAAAAAAGAACAGAAATGCGAAGCTCCTATAATGCAAAACTTGAAATTTATACTTTGCAGTTGTTTATGTCGGGGCACTACTGTTGGGGTGTCTTTTCTTGTTCAATTTGAAGATATTCTCATGAATTTTTCAAAATAGGCCTAATATGGATATTATACAGTCATAATATTGTACACAGACCAGTGACCAGTAAAGTCAAGGTGTTTATCGAGTCTGGAATATAAAAATTATTTGAATAGTTATATATATTTGTTTTAAAATTGAAAATTTGAAGAAAACAACCCAGCGGGATAGTTAAAGTTCGAGTCCAACTTAATCACCAAAATACAATAAATGCCTTAGAAAGATCCCTCTGTTTCCATCGGTTACCGAATAAATTTTGCTCCACGTGCGTGCTCAAGCGTTTGACGTTAAAACAAATAATTGCCATAAAAAATTCATCCGCATATTCTTGACGGAGGGGGGCGCGTAAGTCTGTGACTTTCCCGCGAAATGCCAAGGAATCGTGATTATGAATGCAAACATATAGCTCCTTCCCTTTTTTATTTGCGATCGACCGATCGATAGTGGGGAAAAGGGCAATGGTCATACATCCGACGTGCATTGATGTCTAGAATTCTAGACTCTGTAATGGCCATCTTAAAGTTATTGCCTCGTAAGCATACCGGGGTTCCCGAATAAGATATTGCCTTTGTGCAATTTATTCGCCGACAATGTAACCCATACAATTACAAATACGGTATATGGTATAATAAGTAAGGAGACAAAGTTGGACAAACATATTTCAGCAGTCGTTCTTTCATATACATGCAGGCATACACGCCTTTATCTAGTGTGAAGGGCATTATGGTTGAGATCAGTATTAGGTTTTGCCCTTCACCGACTTATAAACACTGTATACTCCGTGTGTTACCTCCCGAGTGAAAGTTGGAAAAAAAAATCACTCGGGTGGGACTCGAACCCACGACTTCCTGCTTTCTAGTGCAGACGTCTTACCATTCGACCGCCGAGCTTGCGGGATTGGTTGGCTGGTTCGAATCTGGTGTACATGTAGCACTGAGCAGGTACCGCAATAATAAAATATTGGTAATATGGAATTTTCCCCAACGCAAATTCTATCTTACTAATACTAAATTGTGATATAGCCCATTTTTTTTCACACGGTCTACATTTTCAAAGAAAAATTTAACTTACACCACCATTTTGACCGCACCGCGCCGCAAGGGCGTGTGGGAAATCATGATTTTATAATAACATACAAAGGAATGATCCATAATGCCGAAAGGCCAAAGATTAACCCACAAATAACATATAACATTAGCTTAATACATCAGACAGGCCAGCTAAATAATAGGACATCATTAATTTCAAAGACAGCCACGCCAGGATTATACTTGGCTAAGAAAATAGATTGCTTTGCACCTGATATAGCGGTCTTACTATTAGGCCTACCTGGGAAACCAAAACCACATGACTATGTCAGCCAATCATAATGCAGTGTTGTCGTGTTGTGCAAACCAGGGATCACCATGACTGTGACTTAACAAATGAATAGATTGGTCATATTTTTGACGGGTTTCCTTAAAAGTTACTGACTTGTTTTGTCAATATACCTCATCGCCGATCCTTGATAACCCTGCAATCAAATCCCTGCCAATGGCAGACAAGAAACACTTTCACGCATGATTTGAATTTTTTTTAATTCCTGTTTACGTTTTGCTCTTTTGGTCTGAGTCAAGACAGGCTTTTGTAGTGGAATGAAAGCGAAACACCAAGTAAGCCTACAACTGGATGGTATAGTACCCTAACAATATCATAGTTTATATGCGCATAACATCCTGTACAAAAAAGTAATAAGAAACGACACAACCTTACGCAGCGTTTACAAAAAAACTTTGCAACAACTCGTCAACTGCTGCCCTTTGGGCAGCAGGTACTTTCCCGCACTACGCAAGACCCTATTCATAGCAATACAACAAAAAGCCACGTGCCAGACAGTGTCCAGACAGTTGCCAGACAGTGCGCTGGAAAGATAATTGACTGGCGGCTGTGGTATGCAGTTATGAAGGGAGATGACTGTGTCAAGTTACAGGTCTTTGTTGATGTTTCAATGAGACTTGGCAGGAGGCCTGGTCGAAAGTTTGTTGACACGGCCTGGGTGTAGCCCTGGCTGCAAAGTTAATTGAACCAGCTTATTTGGCAAGGGTCGAATGAGGATTAGATGGAAGGTGGCCGTCATTGGCCCTCTTTTTTTTTTCAAAAAATTCGGTTACCTGGGGCCCAAAGGGCAGCAGGTCACTCTGCGCAAGGTTAAAAATGTTATTGATTGTTGGTCCACGGCAAAAAAATGCTGGGTTAAATTATCATACCTCACTGTTCATTTAGATGGTGTTCATTTAAAAAAAATGTAGTGTCTCAAAATATAACCCTTTATTTAATGATCCCTGCATTATTTTATGTCTCTTGCCTTCACCTTACTTGCGGCAGCACATCCACAAGTCCTACCTCCGTACCGTCCCCCCGTACTCCCAACAAGCCACTGTCTGGGCCGACCTGGTGGAACATTTTGACTGGAGCAGCGTGGTCACCATCACTAGTAGCGACCAAGATGGCCGCTCCATCCTCAGCACGCTACGCAAGCGTCAGAAACACAATGAACTCTTCAAGGTGAGTTTTCTTGTTATTCTGAGGAAAAGTGGGTCTCATTCCCCAAGAGAACCTGTGGTGTTATTTTTTAAATAAAGGTTAACTCTAATACAGAGGCTAAAGGAAACAGGAACATGCATTTATCTTGACATCAATATATTACATGTACATGTCGTCGGGTCAAAGCAGAAAGGACTTATAAGCCCTATTCATCATTTTCCATTATTTCAAGATAATCGAGTTTGAAGATTCACACTGCTTTGAAAATTGCAAAATGTTATTTAAATAGTTTAAATTATGCATATTGTTAAAGGGGGTTCTTTAACTTAACAGTTAAGTATTACTTGCCATTTTTTGTAACTTAGTTATTTAATTACAGCTAATTAAAAAAATAAGACCTTTTGGTGCTTTTCAATATAACACTGAAAGAAATGACAAAAGGACAAAAGGGTGAGTGCAAAAAGGTCCTACAAGCTCTTAAGCCCTTTTTGCATTTCCCAACATTATCAGTTATTTCAAACAGAAAGTCTTGCCTGTTTAAAGGAAAAAGGCTTATGAGCTTATAAGGCCTTTTTGATCCCAGTTGTATGACAAGATCAGTATCAGTCCTTTTAAAATTTCTTAATTTCTCCTTAATTGGATGAATAATTAACATAAAACCTCTTTGGGATAAAGACTGTACTGAAAGTAAACAGTTACCATCAAAAAACAAAAATTGACCTAAAGCATGGTATAAGCCCTTTCTGCTTTGACCCGACGATGTATAGGCCTATACAGATATTTTGTGGGTAAAAAGGGTGAGTGTTCCTATTTTAATTACCATTTTGTGGAAAATGTCAGTCACTTCAAAGTCTAGCATATTTTGTTGTGTTGGGATACAATAATTATGGTAAAACAAAGACAAAGATGCGGCATTGTCATCTCACCAACTCACAAAACGGACAATGCTACATTGTCACATATTATTTTGTCTGAGGTATGCGTTGACATTCTTTTTTAAAGTGATGTGTGAAACGAAGATTGAGACGAGCTATTTTTCAATATAAGTATTTCGAAGAAATTTCCGGAGTTTGTTTGGTTCACCGTAAGTGAAGGGGTTAGAGTATAGGTCAAGCCAGGACAAACAAAATGGATGGGCGACGATCATTAAAGGACTGATGGCCCTCGGTGAGGTGGGGGGGGGGGGTAAGCCACATCAACCAACCCCGTTGGATCCGCCCTTGAATTTGCATATAATGATCCGGACCTAGCTGCAATGTAATTCTTGCTTTTATAATTATTTTCTTTAGATTGAAAAGTCCATCACGTACAAGCCAGGGGCGAATAACATGACAGATACTCTACTAGAAGCAAGAAAATGCACGTCGAGAGTGATGCTGCTTTACGCTAGGTAAGTCAGCACAGAATCGGAGTATTTCATTTTTTTGCCCATTGCGTCCAACTGATAAGAAACGCTATTGATAAGAAACGAGGAGGCGATTTTTGAACTGTAAACTCTTGAATAAGATTGTGTCGAATCAAATGAGCTGAAACGTTGACCATTGTGTAAACAGTTATTAAATCAGCTACTTACCACAGACACCTCGTGCTATCTTCTGAAGCTATGGACCTTCAGATTCGAACCGGTCAGCCATATTGGGATTGGTACGAAATGAAGAGGTGATTTAAACCTCTATTTGAATTAGCTCGAACGTTCATCTGTTTAAAGTTATTTTAATCAGCTACTCTCCACAAAAGCCCCGATGTATACCTTCATAAGCTGGACTATTATCAGATTCGAAGAGGTCAACAGAAGTCAGATAGCTCGGTTTTTGAGTTGTAAGACGTCTGTTTCACAGTAGGCCCTAAATGAACTTCGCAGGATTATACCTACATAAGTTGTAGTTCTCAAGCCTTCATTATTGGTATAAAACATCTTTTGAAAACCGCAGTCAAAATTCATTGCGAGTGACCATGGTCTTTCTTAACCGTGCCTTCCCATGCGTTTAACAAAGCTGACGGTTTTTCCTTTTATCAATGCCCTAGCGAGAAAGACGCCACCACCATCTACCAAGACACGCAGCGTCTGAACATGACGGGCAACGGCTACGCCTGGCTGGTCACAGAGCAAGGCATCACGGGCGAGGCCCTGGCTGGCGCACCGGAGGGCGTGCTAGCCATGTACCTAGAGCAAGGCACGGACACCAAGTCACATATCCAGGATGCGGTCCGGGTGATTGCCAAGGGTATCCACAGCTTCGTGCAGAACGAGGGTATCATGCCGCCTCCTGCCGGCTGTCGGCATTCCGGGGACAGCCTCTGGCCCAGCGGCCAACTCTTTTACGGGTACATGTACATTGAAAATTTCGGTGTTAAACTAACATGGAGGCTGCGGTGTTTAATTTACACAGAGTTTTTTTTTTAAATCGTAACATTTTTTTGTGGTCAGATATTCATATACCGTGAATACTCTCGAGTGTTCGGTGTAAAAATTTACACCGTGTACGATTTTAAGTTAACACCGCGTATGGTTTGAGATTAACCCCGAGATTTGCGGTGTTGAAATAACACGGTGTTATTACAAGACAGTCTTAAATACCACGTGGTGTCACTTTCACACAACAGCGTGTAACACATCGCTGTGATGAATTACTTGCACGAGATTTGATGAGGGCAAAGTAGAGGGCAAAGTGCTGTTTCAGTATCAACATGTAAACAATATAGAAGTTACTGGATAATTTGATGAAAATTGCAAGTGTTGCACTTGACATCATCATAACGGAAACATTATTGTACAACCAATGTCAACTACATCTAAATTCACAGTAAAAAAAAAACATTCTTCGCCCGACATCTTGTAATATTATGGACCTATCACAATCATGGTTAATCCCAGAACATTGACAAATTGGGCGTCCTTTCAATCTAGAACACTTGTTAAAAAACATTCTTTGCAGACATTATGTCGATCTTTAGGTCTGCTTTTTATATACTCCTGCAGAATATCATAACCAAAATCCTTATGAATAGCAAAATCCTCATGTTTTACACACGTACATTGGAGCTCCAATTACTCTCCAATCAGAAATCTAGTGGATGCCACGGTTCTTCAAGGGGCGACGGGCGCCATCGATTTCGATAAGCACGGAGATCGCAAGTCGGCCAAGTACAAGCTCATCAACATCCAGGGCGGGGAGCCAGTAACCATCGGGGCCTGGTCGTCCGACACACGGCTGACCACCAACCATGTCTCCGTCATATGGCCGGGAGGAACGAGGGAAAAGCCCGAGGGATACGAACTACAAACTCATCTCAGAGTGAGTATTTTCGCCACTCCAGAGGAGCAATGCACTCGAGATGCCCAGTATGCGAGGAAGAAAGTGTGAAATATAATTTTTGCTTCGTGATTTTTTTCAAGGCGATAACGCAACTCTGCCATACTTGAACCTTTGTTATAAAAGAAATTGGTAACACCAAAAAAATCGTATTAATGATCCCTCTCAATAAGTCGATTCCAATTGAAAAGTTTCATTACGATTAACCAAGCAAGCATTTGCTACTGTGTCGGCTACAGGAAAGAAATTAAATTTTGTAAGTTTTATTATATTTTTATTTTATTTCTGGTAATGAGACCAAATATTCTTCAAAGGAGCCCTAGACACTGTAGCTAGCAAGCCTGAAGAAACCTGTAGAGAGGAGGCAATGAGAAGAAATTACAGTCTTAGACGTCGGGAGGAAAACCCCAGAAGAATATTCTGGGAAAAACCCAGGCAGGGACTGAAAACCAATTCATAATGACTGTAGCCAGGGCAGGAATCGAACCCTGGTCACAGCGGTGGCAGGCGAGGAAAGTACTACGCCAACCTGACTAAAACAATAATATAAAGCTGATTTATGTGTGCCCCTTGGGCTTACTCTTTATAGAATCTTCACAAAATAACGACATTTACTTACTGATGTACCTTACCTTATCAACCTAAACGCATTATGTTTGCCATATTCATCTCCATGGGCGTCGCCAGGATTTTTTCTAGAGGGGGGCAAATTTTTTTTTTGCCAAAAAATGCTTGTATTTCTCAACACATTCTCGATTTATCAGTTTAAGAGGGGGGGGGGGGGGGGGCAGGGACATTCCCCCCCCCCAACTCATTAAATTTGCACCACTTTGTCTTTGCGCCTCTTTTTCTTTTCTTTTTATCTTCCTTTTTTGGGTGCTTTTCCGGGGGGGGGGCAAGTGCCCCCCCCCCCTTGCCCCCCCCCCCTCGCGACGCCCATGTTCATCTCTGAGATGAAGATAATTATAACATTGTACCAATTTTTCGTTTTCGTTTTCTGTTCGAGGTCGTAATCATGAAGGATTCTCCCTTTGTGTACGTGGACGAACAAGACCCAATGACGAAGAAATGCTTGAACGACACGATACCGTGCTTGGCCACAAACGGAGGTACGTACGGACAACCACCACATCAAAACTTTATCTGACAGAAATAATGTAATCAACGCATAAGGTGAACAACATTACAACTGTCCCTTCGACGGAACTACATGGATATAGTAAGACTACAATTATTTCAGTTTTAGCATAGGCCTATACCCAACAGTAAACTGGAAAACATCAAATCGTATGGCTAAAAAGGTAGTTTCAAATAAGACAAGGTTCCAAAATGTCATTTTCTCGACAAAAATAGGCATTACAAAGTGGCAATTTTGATTCCGAAGACTCCAGATATTTCCAGCCGTGTTCTCAAATCTCAAGGCAATCTGTCTTATTTCAATAACGTTAATAAAAATGGAAATCAAAAGTCTTATTTTTTTTATTTCAACAACGAAAAAGCTTTATATCATATGCACACAGAATCATCCGAACCAATTGTGAAGTCGAAAAATTAAACCCTTCAAAAACACGGTGCCCTCGAAATGCTTGTTAAGTCCTCCAAAATGCTTTATGTCAGACCTCAGGTTATCATTATAGGTCCTTTGAATATTTGTTTTCCTTCTGAGCAGATAGCATGCAGTGTTGCTACGGTTACTGCATCGATCTTCTTCAAGTTCTATCAAAGGAACTGAATTTCACGATCGATCTTCACCAAGTGCAGGACGGTACCTATGGTGACTATGAAAAGGTGAATTTCAGTTGCCAGTATTCATGCATGGGCAAAAAAACCTTTTTTTTCTGAAACCAAGACAGTCATACTAATGGAGTGATCCCTGTTTTTTTTCCCATTAATAAATCCTCCAGAGCCTGAATCGTCAATTGAAGGTGAAATCCTATTCATCAGAAAGTACCACTTGATTAAACCGAAAAGCAAAACAAAAAAAGATTTACATTTCGGGGGTACAAAAGTTTTGATCAGAACAAAGTGGCAAATTATTTCAAACTTGAATTAATGCCAATTAAATGGGATCATTATATAGCATTGGTTTTTCTTGAAATGAAATTTGATAAAATCAATAATGAAATCAAGTTTGGTTCTCCAAGGTCAACGGAACGGAGAAGAAGCGCTGGAATGGCATGATTGGTGAGCTGGTGGACGGCAAAGCTGACATGATCATGGCTCCTTTGACCATCAACAACGAGAGAGCACGTTTCATTGACTTCTCAAAACCCTACAAGTACCAAGGCTTGACAATCTTGGTCAAAAAGGTAACGAGGATTTGGTACTACTTTCTGCCCTAACATGTCTAAATCAATGCTTTATCCGAGAATATTTTTAATTTGCCAATTTGGAAAACAATTTAAAAATCACTACTTTATACGAGCCAACGTCTCGGTTTCAGTTGTCGCTAAGGCCTATATAGCCTATTACTTGTTATAATATCAAAATATTCATGGCAATATGTTGATCTCATTTCGAAAAGGCTGACTCGGGAACCAACCTACTATCATTCATGCGTCCCTTCCAAATCTCCCTGTGGATCCTGATTGGCGTTTGCATCCACGTGATTGCTGTCGTCATCTATCTGCTGGACCGGTTCAGTCCCTTCTCTCATCCGCGGAACGCCGAGGAGGAGACAGACGCCCTCAACCTCTCCCAGGCACTCTGGTTCTCCTGGTCCGTGCTACTGAACAGCGGAGTCGGCGAAAGTTAGTCATCAACGTATTCAATTTAAGAGGCTAATTTAGTTAAATCAGTTATACTCATCCGTGGATCATTTTGACTAATCAAGATTAAGACACTTTCAAAAAGTTCCCACCATGTAGTTTACATCCCGAATGGATTACGAAATTGTAGCGGAGGTGACGCAAAATTATTGATCTGGCCAATATTGAATATACCCATCAGTCGATTTTGGTGTCTCCTTCATCGCTAATCTGACCCACGACATCACCCTTGTGGTTTCCACAGGGACACCACGGAGCTTCGGTGCTCGGGTGCTAGGAGTGGTCTGGGCAGGCTTCGCGATGATCATGGTGGCTTCCTACACGGCCAACCTTGCTGCTTACCTCGTACTGGATCGACCTCAGGCTCGCATTAATGGCATCAATGATGCAAAGGTCCCTTTTTTTTCCTTCAAATTAATTAAAAGTTGCATACATAATTACGTGCAGTTTCGGTTGAGACAAATACAGACAATATAGACTTTGGCTAGTCATTGATGTCTGAACAACAAGCAGGACATTGCTTCTGACATTAGTATTAAAATGCGTAGTTACCATGGTACATTTGTAAAAACAATCAGCCAACACCAAAGAGTCGCTTTCTAATCACTATAAATACCAGACAAAACAGAAAAAAATTATAAAATACATAATTTTTTACATGTTAGTATTTGTTATTCGTAGCCGTAAGGGCAGATAATTGAAATAGCATATTTCAACACCTTGCTTTCCTCTGCAACTTATATAACTTCAAACGCATTTTTTCTTTTCGTTACCTATTGCCCTTTTTATCATTTTCTTGTGGCCGCCAAGTTGGTGGCCTTGATATTGTGGTTGGCGATTTAATTATAAAATAATTGAAATTATTCTTTGATTTCCGTCCACAGATGCGGAATCCATCGTCAGCATTTACCTATGCCACCGTCAGCAAAAGTTCGGTAGAGATGTACTTTCGTCGACAGGTGGAGCTGTCGTCCATGTATCGCTTCATGAAAACATACAATTACAAGGAAGCTGATATGGCCATTGAGGACCTGAAAAGCGGGTACCGAATCATGCCCATACTGGCTGTTTATCTTCCCAAATACTCCCACTCTGTCTGTATAGCTGTGTCTGTAGTTGCGAAACTGGTATATGAGTGTAACAAAGTTACCAATCTCGTTGAGTAACTTTGTTGGTACGGTCTTAGAATCATCACGATGGGATCTTCATTTCTTTTAAACTGTTTTGTTACACAAGAATTGGTTTGAAGGAAACTCAAAGTTTGCAGTATCTATCGCTCTTAAAAAGCAAGGCAGGGTTGATACCGTTAAACATGTATTGCGAAACTTACTACAGTCGGCTCCCGTTATTACGAAAACGGTTAGGACGAAGTTTTGGTTATAACAAACACATATCTTCTCGGCAAAATTGTGCACATTTCTATGGGGAGAAATTCGCTTAAGACGAAATCAAACAATACACAATTTGTGTTACAACGAAATGTTTTGACGACCCCGTTGCGTAAAAAAGCATTGTTCGCGACCCATTTAAATAACTACCGGTATTGCAGGAGATATCCACACCATAAATTACTGATCAATGGTTTTCCTCTTTCTCACAACAGAACCATGGTGGCTACGAATTAATGAGACACTCATGATGTGAAATTGTGAACCTTTTTTCGTTTTCTGCAACTTATCATAGCAAACTGGATGCCTTCATATACGACTCTGCCATGCTGGACTTTGAAGTGTCTCGTGATTGTGGCCTGATCACCGTAGGCGAACTCTTCGGACGATCAGGGTTTGGTATTGGGCTTCAAAAAGGAAGTCTATGGACGCAGAAGGCGAGTTGGCTCAGCGCTTTAAAGCCGAATTAACTTCCCTTATTTTCAAACCAGATTTCAGAGTTTAAACGTTTGCCTTCCTATCATATGAACTGGGGAATTATCATTTAAAATTTAATGAGTAGTCCAGCCCAACTCTAATTTTCAGGAGACAGCGAAAAAAATTGTCCGTTGGGTCATGGAGTTCCGAAGTGTGACGTCATTTAGAACCAAAAAGTGTAGTGCAACCCATGGTGCAACCAAATGAGTACGCGCGCGTGTTGGTTCACGGGCTGAATCACGCGCTAATGTCTTTCACACACATTTTGTGCGCAAGTCGTATTCACTTTGGTACATTGACGGGGGAATAAACATTGAGGGGAAAAGAAATACATTGCTGGGTCTTGCCCAATATGTTCCCTTTCTTTTCCCATTAATGTCTTTGTTACTTTACATGACGATGGAGGGTATACATGCATCTATCACACAAGAAGGGACATTATGGGGTTAAGGATTTTTTTCGCAAGGGGGCGGGGTTGGGGTTGGGGGGTTAGTAAGGGTAGTTTGTGAAAACACAACGTTGGGACTTGATAAATAAGGCATGTCTACCCTTAGTTGTACGTTGATAATTCTTTAAATGTCTATAGCACTGGAATAGGGTCGTGGATAACCCCTCTGGAGAGAGACATGCTCAAAGAGCAGACAAGGTACTAAATGGGAAGAGGCTAATGGTGAACTGTTTCTTGCTTTGGTTACACATTTTTACGGTAGGTATCTTTGCGGATCCTGGAACTGCACGAGAGAGGTAAGATTGGTGAACTGGACCTCAAATGGATTACATCGAAGCAGTGCGGTGTCAAATCTATCCAGCCGACCACACTGGGACTATCCAGCATGGGAGGCGAGTAGATTTCAAAGGGCACACAGATGATATAGCATTTAATGTAGCAGTAATTATTGATGATCAAGTTTTGCAAGGCATCTTTTTAGGGGTGCATGCATACCTATGTTCCCCGTCCCTACTATGTTCCCCGTCCCTACCTTCCCCAGTCCCTATCTTCCCTGGTCCCTAGCCCAAGCCAGGCTATAACCTTAACATATGGACTGGGGAACACTATCTGATAGGATACTATCAGCACCACAGAGACATAGTTGAAAGCAACCATAAATAGGATGCTGTCACTGATCACCTTGTCATGGCTGTTCATATATTGTTGGAAAAAAATATGGTATCCTGACGCCACTTCGGTGGTTGTGTACAAAGTTTATGGAGAGTCGAGATCATTACCTAACAAAATTGGAAATGTTTCTCAGCCCCAAATTCATGTCTTCTCAACATTTTTGCAATGACATATCTTCATTGAGATTATATACGATGAAAAAAATGGCGTCAGGATGGAACACTCTTTCCCATTGTTTAGTCATCAATGGATCACTGCTGCATATATCAGGGGTGTGAGTGACCACTAAAAAAAATAGTTGAAAACAGCTGAGAAAGGTGTAAAAAAAGTTGAACTTTGGAAATCTCCTATACTTTCGTACACAGCAAGTGAGGGGGGGGGGGGGGAAGCTGAAATCAGCTTTAAAGCTGAGATTTCACACCCCTGATATATATCGTCATTGAAATAATACATTTGAGCCGGGGACATTAAACTATTATAGTCCAAACTTTTTTTCTTTCTTTTTTTAGAAAACATTTGTTAGTACATAGTCTAAGTTTTCTTTAGTAAAACGTTATGCGCACCCACCCTTTCACTATCACATTCCTGAGAAACAAAAACAAAGTTTAAAATCGTCATGGACATTTGGGGTCGAAGACAGAGGTGAAGAAAAGTCAACAAGTAAAGCCAAAAAAAAAAACCTTTTTGAATTGCCTGTAAAATTTACCGTATCATTTCCATCCCATCAGGAGTCTTCATATTGGTGGCTGGTGGTTTCCTAGTTGGTTGTGTCATCAACCGTATGGAGATCCACTACAAACGTCACCAGCAGACCAAGGAGAGACAGGTAGAGCTGGCCAGGGTAGCAGTCAGCCACTGGAGGGGTACCGTCAGGGTGAGTCGACGCTCAGCCATCAGTGGTGGATGGGTAAAACTTTGAAACAATACTCAAGATTACGAGTTTTTGATATATTTTTTTTACTCAGTGACTCAGTACTTGAGTGACTCAATTAGTGAGTCCCTCATCAGTGTCTCAGTTATAAGTCACTCATCAGTGACTCAGTCAGCCGGAGGACAATATTGCCCTGCGATTGACTCTGAGTCATTAACGCTGGTTGTCCAGTTCTAGTAAAAAATATATTTTCACCACAGAGGCTTTAACAATTAAATTGTGTTTATCCGCAAAGCACATTTTCTGAGACAAATCGACTTTTATTTGCATATTTATACATGTAGAAGCTCTGTTGAAGAAACTCTTGAAAAGTAACAAAGCTATTTGCTTGAAATTCTGCAGAATTGTTTTGAAGACATTTCAATCAATTTTTTATGGAAAACCTTGCGGATGGACTAGTAGAAAAAATATCGAGCAACAACTTTATAATACAAAGTCCAGACTCCAGAATGTCAAACACTAACTCAAAGTGACTTATGTACCTTTAACACAAGGTATAAGCAAAATATGTGCTCAGCTTTAGCACGGAACAAGTTCAAGCCAAACTGAACTGACTTGACATTATTACATGTACTCTTTTCCTTGTACAGAGAAGACGCAAGAGAAACAGCTCCAAATACATGGTGCCGGCTCCAACTCCCGAGCCAGTGGAGAAACGCAATGGTGTCCAAGGAGCATCGTCTCTTGAAAAAGGTCCAAAATGAAGTAGCAATCAGTCTGAACTTTTCCACATCAAAAGTGTCTTAATCCTACATAATTTGTATGATCATGTAGCTGGGATAACAACAGTGGCTAAAAATAATGTTACACAAATGCAACATTTTTGTATAAGGTGTGGGTGGGTAAAGTTAGGTGGTTGAAAATATCTTTTCATTTACACACAAGTTTCATCTGTTCCTGGACTCGGGAACCATTCAATTTCGAGGAGCTAGGACTGGGAATTACATGTACATCAGGCAATGTGAGTTGTTACATGGCCACCCCTACTTATATGGTTTGTTGAAATTAATCTTGGGTCAGAAACCTTTAAGGTTATTCATATGACATTCAAGAGGATTACAAAACTTGTAAGTTTACAGGGTTTTTTTCAGGCTGGTGGGGTGCAGCGACTTGGGTGTTTTAGGGGGGATCTCCAATTTCATTACAAGAATTAAACAACTAATCAAAATAATAAAGCTGACCATTGTTGGAAGTTTTTCTGAGTACATGTACTTGTCTGTGCCCTTGATATGCAGAGATGGACGGTGCCATCCCACTGGCTGTAATTAACAGGAGAGATCGGACCATTCCAATGCTTCAGCTGCCCAGTAACACCTATCGTTGGGGTTCCTCAGCCGATTCTTTTTGCTCCTCACCCAACAGCTTGTCATCCAACTGAGCTTTCTCCTTAATGTAAAGGATGTCACCCAAACAGCTAAAAGGTGAACCTCTAAGCCTAGGCCTGGCACGCCTCTGCAGCTTGCATCTTGTTCCATGTTAATATGATGATCGTCAAGAGATACAGGAACGGCCCCTCCATAACTTGACCAAACATTCTTATTCCTCAACAAACACCGTCATCCAACCAGCTCAGAAGTGAACCTCCAGGCGTAGGCCTGGCATGCCTCTGCAGTTTGTATCTTGTCCCATTGGGAAGACGCTGATAAATCTCACCCAAACATTCTCATTTCTCCTCAACGAACAGCACGTCAACCTCCACACCTCTACAACTGGCATCTTGTCCAACTTGAATGACATTGACCAGCATCAAGAGAAATATAGAATTGGTCCCTGCACATCTACTCGTAACAACATGACCTCAACTTACCTCAATAGTTGAGGTCATGCAGTTAGTCAAGAACCAGCGTCAATTCCCCCAGGCCAGCACACAATTATGCCCCAAGGTTCATCATACAGATCTGCGCAATTGCTTCAAGTTGCTTGATAATCATCTTACAGGGTTCAATGGTTGGCATCTTCAACAGAAAAAGGACAAGTCTTGTTTCACGTTTCCTCAGTAGGTTTAATTTCTACAGCTTTTCCCTTTTCACAGCATAGCCTCAACTATAGTACCCTCCTTAGATCTCTGGCTGACAAATTCAGCTACGCCACCACAGCAGTTGCAATCAATCAAGTGAATGTTTTTAAAAGTTAAGAGTTCCCTTGTTATTTTGATATAGCCATACTTGACTGGAGGTGATTGATATGCAGGTGTACCAGTACCTCTTTTGTCTGTTGGTGGAATTTGACTAGTCACAGCGTTCACACAAATGTGATCTGTTTTTTTTTTTATACTAGCCTGCATACAAATGCATGGCAGGGGAAGTGGAATTTGAAGAAAAAAAAATGTTTGACTGTCTGTGAATGGTAGCTCTGCCTCATTATTTTGTGTATGGTCAAAGTACTTTGTGTGGTACAAGAAGTTGCAACCCAAACCAGTCTGTGATGCAATTCACCTCTACTGAAGAAAGTGCAGTTGCCTATATTGTGGGATCTGTTGCATGAAAGGGCCCTCTGGATGTGCTGCAGTTAATCATGTAATTGCTCAACTGTATAATGGGGGGGGGGGGGGGGGCGGAATGCTCATTGCTCATATAATGTATTCAGTGCTATCAGGCAGGTAATTATTCAGGAGCTAGATCTAAATGTAAAAACTAAGCATGGTGCATGATAAATAGTGAAGGGGGTGGGGAGAGGGGAAGGGATGTGTGATTCCCCTTCCCCCCCCCCACCCCGCACCCCACGCCCTGGAAAAGCACAAAAAAAAGAAAGAACAAATTTTAAAAAAAGAGGCGCGAAGTGATATTGCTGTTAATTTAAAGGGGGGGGGGGGGGAATGTCCCTGTCCCCCCTCTCAAAAATGCTACATTGAGAATATGATGGAAAAAGTACAGTGATGTCGTGGGGGGGGGGGGGACGTACTTTGTCCCCTCTTGCAAATTGCAATTGGACTGGAGCCTTATCTGTATACTGCGCATTTATGTCATTGAACATGTATGGGATTAGGTACACTGGATGTTGTTAACTTCAAAACATCACTGTGAAATTATCGTGGGTACAAAAATGCCTATTGATGCAACAGTGGTACTGTCGAGTATAAACATGTGTAGGAAAGCAGGGCTGGCCCTACACAGGTGTACATTATTTTTGTAGGTGTCCTCTTTGTTTTGATGTTGTCAACTATGTCCTATTGTTGGTTACATGCATGTGGTTAAATAATTTATGATTGTTGTTTCTGCTACAAAACGTGTGGTAGATATTTCATGTTAAGTGCAGGCTATAAGTCTAACATACAACAAAATCTTTCATATAGCATAATGTCTGGTGTGTTTTGTCTTCAGCGGCTATGTACAGATGTTATTTAAAACCAGAAACCAAATAAATGTAAAGTAACATATGTTATCGAGTACAAATGTATTTGTCGAGTTGGGTGCTGGAGATTATGCGTTGTGACAGGGTATTCACATTTATTTCATTTTTTTAAACTGTTGCAATTGAAAAAAACAACTCTAGAATTATTTTCCTTTAGTTTGTTTTAAGTGTGTAGAAGGAAAAGGAAAGGAAAACAGGTTTTTTTACAAATCCAATCTATTACATATACTGCAATTCTAAGAACTTCAGAACAATCATGATACAGCTTAATACAATTATGACCGATATAGAAAAATGTATATACATGTTATGTGATTTTGGGGTTAGTATTTTATAGCAAATACTGTTACCCTCACCTGTTTAAAGTTCTGTGTTCAAACATGCTAGATAAACCAAGGGGGGAATCGTTTTTGTAGTCTTGTTCCCTGATCCTACTTCAGACGGAAGGATCGATTTATAGAGAATTGTCAGGTCAGGGAACCAGACTAGCTGGCTTGCACCCATTCACGGGTGTATAACCAATTGCAAACAAAATGTGGACTTCATGTCGGTCAACATTTGGTAAATTGGGGGCAGTATTTGAAAAAAGTAATTGGAAATTGATATAAATATTCCACTTTTCTTGAAAATGACAGGAGGTGCCATGATTTCACAGGATGCTTATTCATTTACAGTCAAGTAAGGTATTTCATAATAATTTGGTCGTTTTGTTTTGTGATGTTTGCAAATGTTTTATATTACCTTTAATAACATATGGCTGATATTTTTTCAGAGAGGCTGCACGTTAGCACAAAAGTGGCATTTTTTCCAGTAAAAGGAATATGATGAACAATGAGCAAATTCCTACGTCTGGCAACTTAACAAACACAAGGGGCTTCATCAGTGAGCATATAAGCGTTAAAACAAAAGTTAATAATACTCGTTAGTCATTTTTCTGAGTACAATGTTATAACACCGCTCTTTATTTCCTACGTTTGAGTGGCATTGCTAGATGTTATATTAATAAACTTGGCTAAAAGCGACACTTTCCACTGCCTGAGCATCTACACGTATTTACAGAGGTGAAACGATATAAATATCCATCTATTAACAAGTGTACAAAAATTAATTGTTTTGACAAAAAGTGAGGTATATTCTAAAATACAAAATAAAATAATGCTGCGTTGCAATGCTGGTTTTATAAATAAATAATACTACTACTACATAAACTGTATGTCTGTTATTCAATAATTAAATAAAATGGATTTCAGGACTGCTTTGAATGGCTCAATTTTGAATTTCTTTTTGTTCAGAGAGTGACACACAATAGATTCTGTTTCTATTCTTGCGATGCAATTTTTTGGAATCCTTACTTAAAGATTTATGCCCTTGCTCTACAAAAATAGTGATTTTCTTTTCTCTTAATACATGTACATTTTCAATTTGTACGTTCTGTTTTAATTTTTTTTAAATCTGCATTTGGGTGTCTGTATTTCTCTGAAAAAGAGCTTTATTTTGTGCACAAAATAAAGCTGCCCTGCGAGAGCTGAATTATTGTCTGGCGGCCAATAATTCAAATTTTGTAAAGAAATAATTCAATGACTACATGTTGGTGACTTTTTTTTTTTCAATCAATGTCTCATTCAAAAATGAATAACTTTTTAATGCCGGGGAGAAAAAAAGTAACAATTGAGAAAACAAATCTATTTTTTGGGTAAAACTCGAAATACAATTTAGCACAGAGAATACATCTTTAAAAGAGGGAGACCAAGCAAACACACACAAAAAAGATCTATACCTATCAGTGGTGTGCTTTTACGGGAAGTACAGGAACCGAGTGCTTTATTGAGGTAAATATTCAGCTTTATAGCTTTAAGGTGTAAATTAATTAATGGGTATAGTTGGTTACAGGTACCCGATCCCATAATCTGGAACCAGTCACTAGCGTCACCGGTCAGGTACTCGGGTACCCGGTTCCTATGCACACCCCTACAAAATAATTATATAATATTGGATGGCTTTGAGGTGGATACAAGAATATATTGCATGAGCTATGACAATATTGCATGAGTCGAAGATGAGTGCAATATTGTCATAGTGAGTGCAATATGTGACCTGTTCTGTCAAAGTCAGACTTTTCTGGGCACAAGGTCAAAAATGAGATTTTTGCATATTGTTCAAATATGTTCTTTTTCCTTTTAATAGGTGGTTTAATTTTTTAAACCAGTCATTCCTGCGCAAAGTTATGCTGTTTTGAAGTTCATTGTGTCAAAAAGTAAAAAACAAAGAAAATGGCCACGAACGTCACAAAACAGTAATTTCTTTAACTGATATACCTTAACAACTCATCAAAAATACTATAATTAGAGATCAAATTAGAGTTTCAAACTTTTATAGTATATTTTAGACATGCTCAGGATTACAAATATGCACAAATTAGACAATGGAAAAAAATCACCCCCACAGCGTTTTTTGGCCCTATCTCAATTTCAACCTCTGCCCAGAAGCGTCTGCTTTTGACAGAACAGGTCACATATATTCTTGTACCAACAGAAAACAAGCAATCCAATATTATTATTTATTTCAGGCTGACTTGATCCGCAAAAAGGACTATTCAAGACACTGTCTTCATTACATCTTTTTCGTTTACATCAAACTTTTTGAAGCTGCCACTGTAATTGTTGACGACAGTGCGCATATACCTGGCCTTCTGCGCGCTGCATGCGCGCTGCATGCACGCGGCGTGTTCCTTGTTCGACGGTACGCGCGCGCTACACTCTGCTGAGTGGTTGACAACTGTGACTTTCTATGCTCTTGTTCAAGCAGGAACCAGCGAAAATGCCCGGATGACTGCAATAATAACGTTACTGCAGTCAACCGGGTACTTTATTATTGCAGTCATCCGGGAACTTTTTATGAAAGCATACAATATGCTGATTTATTATTACCTCTGGAAGCCTGATTTAAATAATAATCATAGTTATAAAATGTATCCACTTGCATGAGATGATGCAAGTCCCGATGTAACTCTGGAAGCCTGATATCAATAATAATCACAGTTATAAAATGTATCCACTTGCATGAGATGATGCAAGTCCCGATGACCGAACAACATTTTTTTTTTTTAAAGCATTTTATGTTTTAAATGTAAATATGTAATTGAATAATCGTTTATGACTGCAATACACAAGGTTTATATATTTAAAGCTTTCATTTTCATGTGTTCCACCTTTTTAGTTGAATTATGCTCTTTGAAAAACTAGGGTGATGAATCGACTACTAGTCATCAATGACCGAAAATGAATTGACACAACTGTACATACACATATTTTCTGCCCAAACGAGAAAGGCTTCGCTTGCTACTACACACGATTGCAGCTTACACCGACATGATCACTAAGTGACGCACATGAGTGCACCGGCCACTATAAATATAGTACACACTAAGGTACAATCAATTTTCCTAAAAATATATAAAAATGACACAAACATCTTTTTTTTTTCCATTTAAGAACATTTCTCATTGCAAACATTTTTTGTTTGTTCAAGGATTCCTCGAATACTCTTTTATTAAATGCATATCTGCCAAAAACAAAAACAAAACGAAGAATGTTATCACGATACGTCACCACACTTCAAGGCTTGGTGTGTAATACATGGTGAGTAAAAAAAAAAAAAAAAAAAAAAAAACCCAAATGTCGGGACCATTGTTTTAGTGCAGTTCTGCATGTAGCACTTTCAAAATCTAGGATATGAAAGCCCAATTCATAAGCTTTCTTTTAGTACAAGAATCATTCACATCACTCATGGACTTTTTAAGTTACGGAATTTTAAACACAACCACCGTTTTAAAGTTCTGTCCACGGATAACAAGAAGATAAGCGTTCTTTCAGCAAAACGAAAACAATTCACACACATCTCTATGTGATTTGATTTGATTTTCATATCCTAGATTTTGAAAGTGCTACATGCAAAACTTCACTAAAACAATAGGCCTTGACATTTGGGTTTCGTCTTTTTGACTCACCCTGTGTAATGGCAGAATTAAACTTAAACGAGTCACAGTCGTAGCGTGATGACTATTGGTCCTTGATGTGGCTCAACTGTGTCTGTAAAAAGAAAATAACTACCTTGTCAGTAAGGAAGTACCAATTTTCCATATACATGTGTAGGACATCTTTACAAAAATCAGTGCGTGCTTTACACCGGCAATCACCATTGTGTAGTCTTTATGTTAGTCTTGGAATCATAAGCTAGGATTTTTTATTTTCTAGCTGGTAGTTTTGGGCAGCTATACCATGGGCATAGAATACATGGGAGTCTGTATGCACTGATGAGAGACTTTTGACCTTTTTTGCTCGCAATGCCAGCCTGCAATATTGTTTTTCTGAGGAGAACAGTTGACTGCAATAGTCAATCCATTAGGCCTGCCCACTACACACATGGCAGCAACACGTGCATCTCTCCAATGCCACACTGCATGGTCCAGCCTTGTTCTCAGAATGTCGGTCGCTTCGGCACCTGCCAACTCGACACCTGCCAACTGGGCACCTGCCAACTCGGCACAGTATAGTCTATATGTTAGTCTTGGAATCACAGGCACCTGCCAACTCGCCAATGTATTGTCTATATGACTCGGCACCTGCCAACTCGGCACCTGCCAACTAGGCACCTGCCAACTTGGCACCCGACAGACTTGGCACCTGACAGACTTGGCACCTGACCCCCCAATGGAAGTCAGTAATGTTGAAAAGACATGAATCTGGAACTGAGTAACATTTTGAATTTTGTTAGTAAATTCTTCTTGACTCCCTTCTGACTTTGTACACAACCATCAAAGTGGCGATAGACTTTGTACACAACCAACAAAGTGGCGTATAAGATACCACATTTTTTTGTATCTGAGGTGCTGAGTTGGTCAACTGCCCAGTCAGCTAGGTGCCTAGTTTTTTTTGTACAGGTGCCGAGTTGGCAAGGTGCCGAGTTGGTTGGTGCCGAGTTAGCAAGGTCCAAGTTGGCAGGTGCCGAGTTGGTGGGTGCCGAGTTGGCAAGGTGCCGAGTTTGTGGGTGCCGAGTTGGCAAGGTGCTGAGTTGGTGGGTGCCAAGTTGGTTGGTGCCGAGTTAGCAAGGTGCCAAGTTAGCAGGTGCCAAGTTGGCAAGGCGCCTAAGTGACCAGTTACCGCTCCTGTTTGCACACACATTGGACGTTAATCCCGATGGTGACTGGTCAGAGCACTACTGGGCAGAGCTAAATGGATCGGTCTTCTGAGCTCAAATGTCAGGATAAAACCCACCTTGACTGGGAGGTCCATGCAGTGATGTTGATGTGAATCTAATGGTAGAGATCCTCATCAGCTACAGGCTGCTCCTGTTCTTCTTGTTCTTCTTCACGGTGTGAGGCGACAACAGCTAAGTCCTTGGCATGTCTCTGAGCTGCAGCAGCAGAGCTTTATAGGGAAGAGATAATGGAGGATAATTGTTTCAGGACATTTGCCGAAATCGTGATAAATGCTTCACAGCAATTCCAGTGTTATGAAAGGAAGTGTAATGTCCGTTACGGAGCCAATTAACCGTGATATCTAATTAATGATTCACAGAAATGTTCCACAACTCCCAGTCTGTAATCTGCTTGACCATTTATAACTAGACAATGGATGTATAAGATTTAAAATACACGTATATATTTTCACTGAGCTGTGAAAAACAGTCACAAGGATTGCATAATGCTGGAAGAGCCCTAGATCAAAGATTATTTTCTGTTAAAAAATACTACAAAACAGGGAATAGAAAGTTATTGTGCTTGGCCTTTCATACATTACTCATTTGGTTTTCTATTTGGATTCTATCTGGTAATGAAACCAAGCATTCCTCAAAAATGCACCCACACTTTTTGTTTCAGAGGGTTCATGTAAAATAATGTACCTGATAGCAGCATACTTGTCCATGCCGCACAACATTTTCTCCTGGATGACTTTCTTCCTTAGGGCCAAGTCAAAGGGGTTTTCCGTCATTCCCTCCGACTTCGAGCTATTTTTCTCTGCATCATTAAGAACCTCAGTGGAGATGGTTGCAGGCCTCTTTGGGTGCTCTGCCGACGAGGGTTGCGAGTTTTTCAGACGTTTCTTTTGTTTTGTGAACATTGGGTTTAAACATCCACGCTCAGGATCTTCAGTTGTCCTTTTGGAGTCAGCATCAGGGTTGAATTCTTTTGGAAGCAATGCAATGTGACCACTCTTCAGTGTTGCAGGGCGTGATCCTGACGATGCATCATCTTGCAATCTATTTGACTTACTGACTTGAGGCAATGGGAGATGTTTGCCAATCAACTTCCTCTTGGGCCTTCCACTGCCCATCCGCAGCAATGAAAATGCACGTTTCCTTTTCATAACCTCGGCTTTGCCATGCTCAATAAATTCAGAATAGGAGACTGCTGGACTGGATTCGTTGGTGTGCTGTTTGGCAAGCTCTGCCAACTGCTTACTTGCTGCGACACTGTCATCACATTTGGTACTACCCTGGTGGTTGCTTTTGCCTGGGCTAGACTTCGGAGAACCTCCTTTGCAACGTGGCATTCCAAACGAGACTTTCTGAGGCTGCAGTGGTGCCAGTTGTGCAAGCCTCATTCGCTCTCTGTATCGCCTCATGCCCTCCCTAGCCCTGACGCGGTTCCGATCTCGGAGGTTCATGCTCTTGTACGGCTCTTGCGTGAAATCAATACGAGCTAGATTTGAAGGGCTGCCTTGTTCAAACTTAACTGGTTTGGTCTTTGAGATCTTACGAGGCAAAGGGGTCTCTGTTTCTGGATTGTTAGATATCTGGACCTCTGTACCAACCTGGGAAGCAATTGTCTTTATCTTTGCTTTCGGCTCCTCAGTTCTTTGAGTTGAAGGGAGATCCATAGTCTCCTGATGTTTTATTTCAGAAGGTTCAATTTTGACTGCAACCTGCGCAAGAACGTCAAACGGTTTCTTGCTCCCTGGCACTTGGGAGGTACTCTCAATGACCTCAGTATTGGCCAAGGCAGGGTGCGCTGTTACCTTAGCTGGTGAAATACATGTACGATTTGCCCCTTCGACAACTTCAATCTTCCCTCCGTTAAAAGCGACAGGTGTTTTTAGAGACACAGGGCCAGGGGTATCGAGCGCTCCAGATCCCCAAATAACTGGAGATGCTTCCAAGAGAAGTTGACTGTCTGGTAGTACCGACCGGCACATCAGTGTCTGGGCAGCAAGTTTAGCCTGCCGCAGCTTCTCTCTGTGCCTCCTCATTCCCTCCCTGGCCCTGATGCGGTTCCTCTCGATCTTAGAGAGACCCTCAACTTCCCAAGGAAGTACTGAGTGAGGCTGACATGGAACCTCGGCATTGCTTTGATCCACAAAGCTTACGCTTGGGACTGAGTCACCCACACTCCCAGAAAGAGGCACTTCAAATTTGTTGTCCAGTCCGTTGTCGCTTGAAAATTCATGTGCTTCATCAACCTGGCCGGTATTATCACTGGTATCAAGATCATCCAGGGGAATTTGAAACACAAATTTGGCCGTTTTCTTTTGCGGAGAGGAGGACAGGGGACTTTTGAGAGCCCTGCTGGCTTCTGTCGCTTCCTGATTCAAGGGATTCCCTGACTCCGCATTGGACCCTTCTGCAAAGGGTGATATTAAGGATCTAATGGACCTCCTGGAAGCTTTTCTTTTTCTCTTGCCCGAGTGGAGCCAAATAGTGCGGGGGCTGTTCTTGATTTTGGCTTCGGTGTCTTGGCCCGTGTCAGGTGGCACTTCATCCTGAGAGACAGGAGCATCTTCGGCAACGGAAGGTGCCGTGTCTGGTACCTCATCTTCACTTCTGTTAGCCTCAGGAGAAGGATTTGCGAAGAGAGAGTCGCCAGAACTGGATAAAACAAAGAGAACAGATTCAACTGATTACCTTACAGTTTAACAAACAAATTGGAAACTTGTTTTTGTTTTATCGTGGAAAAACACCAGTCTTTGAATCAAATCCCTTTCTGGGTCTCAAATGTACTGAAATGCAAGTTTGTATAGTAGCAATTAAGCCTCGGAAACAAGATTTTGTTTTGACTGATTACTCTGAATGAATAGAAGTATGAGTGTTAAGACACACAGCCGAACAAATTTGCAAGAAATGTACAACACTCACAAAACACTCTGAATGTTTTTGAGTCACATCCCTTTTCTTAGTACTTCTACATTTTCAGAGTTGTAAAAAGGGCACATTTCCCCCTTAAATAGTCAGCATAAAACCTTCAAGATCCCAAGATTGAGCAAACCCCACAGCATGTGTGTGGGGGTGACGGACACATAGGGGCAGTAGTATTTAAGTGCTTGTCATGTCTCTCTCTGTATCACCATTGAGGGATGATTGTGTTAGGAGACTACAGGGTGAGTCAAAAAAAAAGGAAACCCAAATGGCTGGACCAATTTTTTAATGAGGTTCTGCATGTAGCACTATCAAATTCTAGGATATGAAAGCCCAATTAAATAAGCTTTCTTTTAGTACAAGAATCATTCAAATCACTCATGTACTTTTCAAGTGTTCTTTCAGCAAGGCGAAAACAATTCACATAGGGATGCATGTGAATTATTTTCATTTGCTGAAAGAATGCACATCTTTTTTGTGATCCGTGGACAGAACTCTAAAACGATGGTTGTGTTTAACATTCCATACTTTGTAAAGTACACGAGTGATTTGAATGATTCTTGTACTAAAAGAAAGCTTATTAATATACCAGTTCGGTATTTCAACTGCGCATGTGCGCAATGATATGGGTCGGGGGTCATTCCGGATAATCAAACTTTTCGAAGGTGCATGAACGCGGTCACACGCTTGCGTGTAAATTACTAGCAGAATGGGTGTGCACGTAACATCGCATAACATCATGTCAGCGATGTTATTCTGAATGACGTAGGATCACTGAAATACCGAATTGGCTTATTGGGCTTTTATATCGTTGATTTTGAAAGTGTTACATGAAAAACTTTATTAAATGGTCCCGCCATTTGGGTTTCCTTTTTTGACTCGCCCTGTATTGGGTGCACTGGCTTAAAAAAACAAAAACTTGCAGTGTTGACAATGTACCTTGTGACTACTCCTTGTTGTATCTGCCCACATGTGACTCCGCTCCCCTCAGTTTGTCTGCTTGTAGTCTGCCCTCCCTGTCCCGTGGCAGTACTCCCATGAAGTGTCGGATCGATTCTCCCATCTTGGTTGCCCAGCACTCCTCCTGGCTCAGTCTGTGTTGACGTGGAGACAAAGGATTTGGGGCTGAATGCTTGACACCTGTTAAAAACAAAAACAATTTAGATGTGCACAACGAATCATTCAGAGTGTCTTCACATGACGACGTACATTTTAAAATCTGATTTGAAGGCTGCTCTCAGGATTTAAATCTTTAGGTTTATTTCAAACAAAAAATGGAACAACTAACAGATTGGAAAAGTAATCGAGTAAAAGTACTTGACGGCCAAAATAAAAGACACCAACAATGCTCTACAGACCTGTCAGCATGGGACTGTAGTCTGGCCAGCTGTTCCTCGACCTCCTTCAAGCGATCGTGTCGCTGCTTCTCTCGCTCTAAGAACCTCCGCCAGGTTTGCGGAGAAGGAGACTCATCATCCACGGGACCCGGGGACGAGCAGTCTACGTTCAGTCGGCGATGGGGATGTGTTGCACTGGTCAAAGAAGGAAAAAAAAAGAGTCGGGGTTCCAAGGTTAGTACCGAGCAGTGTTCAAGTCCATCACAAGTCCCTTCACAAGTCCTTTCATAGAGCCGGCAACAAGTAACTGGATGAACAATGACAAAGGAATGCTTTTGTAGCAGTTCATTTGAATATCTAGAGACTTAACTTGAGACTGAGACTTGTAATTGACTTGTGATGGACCAGCCAGTCTGATTCCCTGACCTGACAATTCCCTGACGTCTATAAATTGCTCCCTTTCATCCGAAGAAGGATCAGGGAACCAGACTACAAGAACAGCATTTTTTTTCACTAGGTTTTTCCAGCATCCATAAACAAGAAAGTTTAAACAGGTCAGTGTAACAATATTTGCTATAAAATACTAACCCCGAATCCAACCATTTCTGAAAATTACAGCAAAAGCAAATGTTGTATACTGCTTTTAAGCTAAAAAAAATTCCTTTTTTGAAAGAAAACAAAAAGACATTTTTCGTGGATCCAATGATGTTTTGTACTTGCACATGACATTTTCACTCTTCACATGAAATTTAGAGCAAAGCAAAGTTGTGAGAGCAAAGGCAAATACTTTGATGTTTTCTAGTTGAAAGATGAACTGATCTTAAAGACTTACCTCATCAACTCCTCCACTTTCTTGGACAGTTTTGCCCCTGGCCTGGGAGATTCGACCCTATCCCTCGCCTGGGGCTTCATCAAGCTGCTGTCTTTCTGGGGAGTGCTTGCAGTGACAGGGTCTAATCTCTTTGACTCCAGTGGCATGTTTGCGGAGAATGATGTACTCCCACTCTGGCCACTATCATCTGGTGGTGCATCTTCTAATAAAAGAAATTCAATAATTTACAGAAGATGAACTTCTCGCAACGTCTCTATCAAATTTTGATAAACCATTGCCTAGCTATCTTATTTGCAATAATCAAATCTTTCAGGTATGGTTAACAATCTTAACCCTCCTATGCAAACATACGTTCTGTGCCAAGTTGTCCTTTCAGTCATAATCAATCATGTGACCATTAAAGAGCTCCCAGCCTACACAAAGCAAGATTGACTGGCTGTGACTGCTTATGTAACTTGATACAGCTATGCGTTGACTGTAGGTGATTGATGAGCCAGCTGTGCCTACCACTTGCCTGTTTTTGTCTGTTGACTGAATTTGACTAGTCACAGTGCTTGCCAGAAATATTATCTGACTGTTGGTGACTAGCCTGTGTATTAAAGGCATGGCAGGGGAGGAGGATTGATTTTTTGACTGACTGTTCAGATAGCAGGAGGGTTCTTGTAAGTGTATACTTCTTTTCTGTTGAACAGTCAAAAATCATTCTGCAATGGACACTTTGTTCTTTGAATAAGAAAACCCCCAATGTGAACGACCTTTATGAATAACAATCTGCTCTGACGTACTTGACCAGTCTGTCCCTGAAAAGCACTCATTTGTGGCCACAAAATGTTATCAACAATTGTACATGAAAATTTACATGTATTGTCCGTTCACCCAATCTAAAGGAAATATAGGTATTCCCGGCTATTTTAAAAGATTTTCCACTCAAATTCACCAACTCTATCATTTCATTTCGTCCACAAAAAAATTTCACTGGCTTTTAACAAAACCAATTTAGTCATTTACCATTTAATTATAAAGTTTGGTCCACCTCTTTAGTCACCGGGTCGAGAATATTCGTCATAACAGATCAAATTCGTTTAAGCTGTTGCCGAATGGCTGCATTCAAAGATCAAATTTGTCTTATATAAATCAAATAAATGAAATTTGATTTCTGAATAACACAATTCGGCGTAGACGAGATGAAATCGAATACCCCCAGGTCCAAAATGTATGCTCATTGTTTGAATTTGTTTGGACTAAATTTGAAATTGTCTGACAAAAGATGAAATTGAACATTGGGTGTGCACTAAATCGATGTTGCTGGACAAATTTGAATATAGGAATCAGTGAATTCGAATATTTTTTTTTTTATAAATAGCTGGGAAAATCTATAGTAAATGAGTTTCATTCCAGCAGTTGCATCTTCCGCTTTCCACCAACCTGCAAATAATGCACTTCTGCAACTCCTCTGCTCTTTGCCGGTATCGTTCATGTCTCTTGAAGTGAACTCAAAGTGTTTTGTGATGCATCTTGGGCTGGCTTGCTTCCGTCTGGAGCGCCCCTTCTGTAGATGTCGCATCTTCTCTTGGGTAGATGCGGCAACATCCACAGATCTGGTCTGGGCATCTTCTGGCTCCTGGCATCCGCTCGTGCCTGATCTGAGACTATGAGAAGAACAGGAGCAAAGATGAGCTGAGAGATGGTTTTACTTATATCACTTACAAATGTAGATTTGTTTTCCCTGGAGTAAATTGGGCTGTTCTGAAAACTAGTGTAGCAGAGGCCAAAGTGAATCAGCTGTTTAATGCAGATATTTGCTCAGCACAAAAACATTTGCTGAGCAAAAATAGGTTACCTGGCACATTGTCATTTGGATTTATAATTTGAGACGAGCTCTCAGCTGATTTGTTCTTTGGCAGGCGAATTCGCTTAGCAGTGTTGTCTGCTTAACAGGGCCCAATTTCATGGCTGTGCTTACCGTTAGCAAAACATCCCTGCTTACTGTAGCAGAAAAATATGTGCTTACAGTAAGAGTATTTTAGGGGTTAGCAAGGAATTTTGGCATCTGCTAGCGCAGTTAGCACAAAAGGGTGATCGTAAGCACCAAATTATGTGTTAAGCATAGCCATAAAATTGGGCCTAGATCCTTTGGTTCACAGATGCAGGACAACATACAAACCAGGATATGCATAATAAAATAACTGCACTAGATTTAGGCCATGTCTGAATTATATGGCTATGACTGGCAGTAACAACACATGTGTCTTTGGGTAGTGGCTTTAGTCGCTTTCATAAGCACATGTGTCATTGCAAGCCGTAGCCAAATGATTCAGACATAGCCTTGGTCTGAACCCAAATTACTCTGACCTTTCATCTTCTGCATTGCCTTCACCAGGCTGGCAATGCTGTGCTCTGCTCAGATCTGTAGTCCTTTCTTCTCCTTGCTCCTTCACTCCTTGACCCATATCTTCCTTTTGATTAGCAGTGCCTTCTGTAAGAGCAGCTGATGTGGCTGTCGGTGGTTCCTGTTGACCTGACACCCCAGCTTGGCTTGGGAGTCCTGAAATTAGACCTGAGACTCCCTGTAAACCTGTGATGCCTGGAAGGTACGCCCCGCCTTGGAGGGTGGTCACAGCTTGGAGTCCCTGGGCTGATTGCAAGCCAGCAATGCCAACCCCTTGCAGACCTTGGATCCCTGGAAGACCTGTGATTCCTTGCAGAGTCACAAGCCCTTGCAGACCCGTCGTCGGTTGGAAACTTGGAATTCCCTGAAACGCCTGAACTGCTTGAAGATTCGGGATACCCTGGAGACCCACCAGTCCTGCTGGGCTCGTGGGACCTGTGATGCCCGGTAGACATCCAAATCCTTGAAGACTTGTGAGCCCTTGGAGACCAGAGAGCCCCGGCAGTCCTCCCACTACCCCCTGAAGACTTGCAATGTTCTGGATGCCGCTGACGCCTTGAAGGCCTGCCACTGGAAGAAATCTTGGATCTGTAACCCCTTGGAGACCCTGGAGGGTAGAGCTCCCAACAATGCTTTGAATTCCTGCCAAGCCTTGAACACCTGTCAAGCCTTCTAGCTTTGGCAAGCCCGCAATTCCTTGCAAGCTTGGGACACCTTTACCATCTGATGTTTTCTGTGCTGCGACAATGTTGGCCTGGCCTGATACACTAACAGTGTTGAGTCCTTGGATGTTAGCAGCTGCATTTATCAACTGCTGTTGTTGCAGCAGCCCTGAGATCTGAACATCTTGCAGAGTCTGTGAGAGATTCAATCCTACCAAAGCCGATGGTTGAGTTGATGGTGATTCATAAACAACTGGTGCTGCTAAATTACCGGACAACTGTGCAGAGCCAAGCGCGGCTTGAGAGGTTGGAGCTGCCAATGGAGTTGAGACAGATTCCACAGAAGGAGCTCCAGTTAACTTCTCGGCACTCTTCTCTCTTGAAAACGCATCTTCCACAACATCTTTTGATTTGATGGAATCAAACTCACCGTCCTTCTGGCTCACATTGCCCAAACTCTCCACGTTTATAACATCTGAGCTTGTTGACGGTTTGGTCGATGTTTCACAAGCACTCTGTTTCGATGCATATGATCTTTTGCCAGAAGGTACATATTCGACCTGTCGTTGCAGGCTGCAAGAACCACTCACAAAGGACTTTGAATCAGTGCATCCTAAGTCATCAATTGGGAAAAAATTGATGAAGTCTCTTACATTTTGTTGTTTGAACCTCCGCCTTCTGCGTTGCCACTGTCCCTTTTGGTCACAATTTTTGGAGAGGTTTTTGACGTCTGTACTATAAATGTTACTGGCATTAAATGATTTACCAGTAAGATCTGTATTTTTGGGGTCTTCCACGATTCCAGGGCTGTCATCACCGTGAATACTTGGGGCTTGCAAATCCAACTTTTTGACACCTGCCTCCATTTGCAGAGAAATCAGGTGCTGGTTTGGGTCATCAAGAGACAACTGATCTTCAACTAAACTTTCCTCCGCCTCATCTGGAATATTTTCACACACACGCCCTCTGAGCATAATTGTATTGTCTTGCAGGGTGCCCTCAATCACAGTCACCCCGGTTTGCTGGGTAAATGGTGATATTTCAGTTTTGGTACTCGTACATGTTCCCACATTTCTCTCAGTGAGTGAAGTCGGGTTTTCAATTATCAATGAGCGTGAAGATGTGTCACGTAAAGTCCAAGAACACGAAGCTTCTTCATGCTTGCCTTGATCGTCGGCTTCTTTAAGAGAGACTGAAGATGGCGATATGTACCTGGCATACTCGATAGCCGGCAATTTACGTTCTTCACTTGCTCCTCTCTCAAAGTTCTTGGACTGCGGTGTCAGAAGTATCAACCGTCTCTTCTTGGTGCGTGAACCTTTAGGTCGACCACGACCCCTCGGTAATGGGGGAGGGGCTTCCATTTGTACACACGCATCACTTAATTCTTCAGGGGATGATTCGGAGGCCCGTTTCCTTTCGCGGTAACGGCGCGCCCTCTCTCTACCCAAGATACGTTTCCTCCAACGTTTCTCCTCGTCTGAGAGATGATCCACTCTGACACGGGTCCTTTTCACTTTTTTGAAAGACAGCTGACCTGTGGGCCTGTTGAGTCGAACGAGAGAGATGAGGATATTGTCAGTGGGACTTATCAAACTGAGCTTGGTTTGCTGGTGAGAGATGAGGTTAGAAAATTTGTTTTTGAGTTTTTGGATAACTATGTTATTTATGAAGTGGTATTTCAAATGATGCCAACTATAATTGTATACACCTGTTGCTTTAGAGATTTCTCAGACAAACAATTTACAATGCACACATCTTTGGCACCTCTGTCATGCCCAATAGAGGGTATGCACAGCCGTTTTTCAACATTAACTTATATGCATACACGGGTAATCCTTACTTTTAGGACACCTCTATTTTTTACGAGTTCTGTTCAAAACTGACTTTTGCAGATGTCTGTCCAGTACCAAAGTGACTTTTGCAGGCTAAAGCAGTCTTTAGAAGTCAAGAAGGTGTCATTGCCAATTGTTCAGATGTGCCACGAAGTATCAGAATGTCTATTTTGAGTGTCATTTAGTCAACTGTTTGGGTGAGTCTTTCCCTTCCTATATAGGAACGGGGTCCTAAAAGTAAGGATTACCCATACACGGCTATACACATCGCATACACGGCTATGCGATGTGTGCAGGCTGCGCCGTTTAGGAAACAGTTGCCGGTGTACGCGTGCGCACACAACATGCCCGACTGTGGAAGCGGTCGCACACTTGGACGGCGCGTCGTACGTCATCAGTTTGACCTCATGAATTTGAATCGCACAACAACATTCAAGACAGCGGTGACAGCTCGACGAGGCTCGGTTTCCGAATTGAAGGTGAAATTTCTCTCTTTTCTTCCCCAAGGTATGTGAACCTAACCACCACCATTTGTATTTTCACTTCCAACTGAAGCCTACAGGGGCGCATAAGGTAGTTTGAAGACTGTTTTGGAGGTAAAATCTGAAGATTTTGATTTGGGGGTTACGAGTGAAAATGGTCAAAAAAATTTGTAGCCGCAATATTGAATATAGGGCCATCGATATCGGACTCTACCATCGCCCGACCATGTCCAAATGTAAGTTAAAAAAGCAATCTGTAGAGTCCTAGTTACTCGGACTACATGTACTCTACATCATGACTAAACACTAACTATGGGCTAGCCCTGGTGGACTCCTTTTCCTCCCTACGTTAGTCGTATTGCAATGAAGACTTCGTCCAACCTGGGCTAACTATGGGCCTACGACGTACAGTCCACTGCAGCAGCGCATACGAAATGTCACTGTCGCACAACAAACATGACAAAATGCTTACGAAATAAAAGCTATTCTGAAGTCAGACTTGAGATTATCACCTTGGAACAATTGCAGAATCGTTGTCGTCATCCCCGTGACTCGAATGGTCCATTTCTCAAGGCATCCCAGCCGAATTGAGAGAGAGAGACCCTCGAATAAAAGCCTTGATTCCCAAACAAAGCACAGCAGTCGGCATAGCTTCCGTAAAATCGAATGGACAGATTAAATGGTCTCAAGCTCAAAACACATACGGTAAGAGGAGCTAGCGGTAATTCTTTAACGCTTTTCCAGCCGTTGTTATTTTCTAACTTCATCGGATTTGATTCTTTTTTAGTTTTCACGAACATTTATTTTAACACAAATGAATGGATGATTTTAAATTTAATCATTTTTAATGATAAAGAGTTATTATCCTTGAATTTTGAAGAAGAATATTATACTTTGGTAATTTTAACGACTTGAATCCAAACTACGTGTACAATGTAGAGGTCGCTCTCCAATATCCTTTGGGCCAGCAGGTGCAAAAAGCGTTGACAACTGACAGAAGCGTGATGATATGCCGTGTATTATTAAGGGAATAAATGTGTGCTCCGGAGGTTTTTATCACTCTGTTTAATACCACTTAGAGTCTGGGTGCTGATAATTACCCGAGCCGGAGGCGAGGGTAATTATCAGCACCCAGACTCTAAGTGGTATTAAACAGAGTGATAAATACCGACGGAGTACATATTTATTCCCATTCATAAATACCTTTTCGGTAAAAAAAAATCATATAATTCGTTCAAAACATCCCGATTTTGTTCAACAAATTCACTTTATGCTTTTTGAAACATCCCTCCTGCAAAATAATGGAGTGTTCAGCTGGCGAATAAGATGAAAACAACCCTTTTATGGAGATTGACGCGCGCGTATCATGTTCTACGCGATGTCGCGCAGAACGCACCTGGCGCGTTGCGTTTTGAATTAAGAACTATAAAATTCTAACTCCCTGGTAGTGTTGCGCATGCCTACGTGAGGATTGTGAACGTTCAACCAATGACACGATAAGAGGCACTGGATTTTTAGGAGTCCATATTTTATTGTGACACTGGAAAAGTGTTTAAGACCAGCTAGCCATGTCTTTATCATCCGTTTAATACCGGCCACGTGACGGGCTCTCGACCAATAGGAATGGCTAAACTGTCTGAGGTATTTATGAATGGGGGTTATTGATCCTCCCCATTCCCTCCCCCCTCAAAAAAAGGAAAAAAAACACAGTTAAACGAGAGAAAAAGTTAAAGAACACAATTATGAGGGCCGGCGGATTAATTTCGAACCAAGTAATCGATTGGTCCTCCCGCCCCTTCATTTCATTGATAAAACTCCTCCCCCCCCCCATCACAAAAATTATCTTCATTCGGACCGTACAGTTCTGTGTTTTCTGTTGCATATCAGCAAATTAATGTAAATCAGGTCCATAGCATGCACTGGCAAACTAAGGCTAAGCAAAAAAAAAAAAAAAACCCAAAAACATGGGCTAGATGCAACAGACAAAGAGGCCAAAAATTAGGTCACTTTTTAAAATGTATCATTGTTTTCGGGTTTTTTTTTTCACTTAAAAAAAGGCGGCCTTCAAAAAGAAAGCGGGGGGGGGGGGCGCTATACATGTTTTTTTTTATTTAGCCTAATATTCATTGCTCATAATACGCTTCTTAGCGCAATAGTCTTCTGCTGGAATTATTTTGCGCTCACGTTGAGCATTGACGGTCTAGATGTGGAACGCAAATGTGGGCTTCCATAAATAGCAAGCATAGTATATCGGATGTGATTACTCATCAACTTACACGGAGCGGACATCTTAAGCGGGCATAAGTGATGTGAATCCCAATAGTCAGGCAGCTTAGGCCAGCTTTCGGAATGGATGTGGACATTCCGGACAAAAGCGCCAAAATGTCCATACATGCTCCTCATTGCCTTAGCTTTCAATTTTTGATAGGAATCAACTAATCCCAAAACAATATGGCGGCCATCTTGGATTTTAAAGATGGCTGCCATTGAAAACCTATTTTTACCCATATCTCATCTTCTAAGCCACTTAAGAGTAAAGTTTTGGTGTCTAAACATGCATTTTCAGGGTCAAGGAATGCAACTGTACCATTTGGGATAGTATCAAATGGTTTGTTTGTCCAGATACAGTGTTGTTGCCATCTTATTTTTGAAGATGGCCGCCGGCATTGAAAACTACGTGTATTGCAACTTTAAGCCACGTAACATTGAAATCTTAGTGTCTAAACATATATTTTCAGGGTCAAAGAACGCAACTGAACCATTTGGGTTAGTGCCAAATGGTTAATTTGTCCACATACATTGCGGTGGCCATCTTGGATTTTAAAGATGGCCGCCATTGAAAACTTATATCCACCGACCAATATCGTTCTTCCAGGCCACCTAGGATTAAAATTTTGGCGTCCAAACATACATTTTCAGGGTCAAGGAATGCAGCTATGCCACTTATGACAGTGTCAAATGGTCAGTTTGTACACTATTGTGGCCATCTTTGATTTTGAAGATGGCCAGTGCACCAGATAATAATATTGCATTTACTGATATCTCGGCTACTACCCCATATCAAATCACAGTCTAGGTGTCATAACATACATTTTCAAGGTCAGAAAAAACAACTCTTTTATTCAGAAGAGACAAAGATGATTTTAGTTATACTCACAAAATAGTCAACCTGAAGATAAAATCTACTACAGAATACTGTTGATATGTACTGCAGTCACCGAAAATACAGTGGGAAGTATTATGCCAGTCATATTATGTGAGAATAAATGTCATCACTCACAAAGTTTACAGTTTAAAAGTGCTCGCCCTAATTCTCAAGGTGTTGCATGCACGTCTTGCGCCGCATACACTTTGATTCTTGAAGCCACATTAACTAGTTCACTTGGAGGCCACAGGTAACATGGTCCAGACAGGAACCCATACTGTTTTTGTTCATGTTCGAGTGCCTGGTCCTAAACAGGCTTGTCCCATTCCTGAAAAAATCCCTTATCCGTCAGCAACCTGGATTGCGACATTGCAAGTCAACAACAAGCCAACTCTTAATCTGGCACAACACGCTGAAGATGGGTTTCAAAACGACAAATACGTGGAGCTATTTTTGTGGATCTTTCGGTCACATATAATACTGTAAACCACTGCCGCCTCCTGAAAAAGATCTAGTTGTTGTCCCAATACCTCGCATTTGGGTCATTCCATGTCAGACCAACGCACTTTTTTACCTCATGTCTTCCGATTTTGATAAAAATTGCTGTGCTTGTAGGTCCTGATGAGCAATGAATGCACACCAATTTTTAGCCCGATCCGACCTACCATTAGTCTGAGTATCACCCGTTCTACGGAGCGAGCCGTCTTCAACGAGCGTCTATTACATAGACTAACCTACCATGTGGTCTGGGCAGAAACCACAAGAAACGGACATTTTTAGAGTAAAATACCACCCTTTTGGTAGAAGTATGTCAAAACCATGTCAATTTTCATCGAATATAAGTGAATTTGGTATTAAAATAATTATATTGCATGCTCAAATCAACTCATTTGTCAAAATTAAATTTTGTGAAAAGTAGGTCATGTGACCTTTAATATGTTATCGTGACCTTTGACCCAATTTATGTACTAATGTATCATTCCGAAAATCAACGCAATTGAAATGACTTGATAGAGCATGTCTTCCTCTATCAGAATCCACATATATGGCATATTTAAAAAAGAAACATGTAGTTGTACTGTTGGTTAAACTTACTTATTATTAACAAAATCGTTATTATTACATAAAAGTATTTAAGTACATACGTAAACCTGTAACTTCATATACTTTTATTGTTAATGGAAGTTTATTTTCTGTGTAACATAAAATTGACACAATGTGTTTTAAGCTATGATAATGTTGGAGTTTCTTAGAGTTGGCAAGATCCATCGTGACGATGGGAGGCTCTGAAAGCTAGCTCACACCATGCTCGTTCAACTGGACCGGGCCAGCTGGTTGGGTCGTGGTCGTTGCCACTGTCACTTCTGAAACGACAAAAATAGATGTCATTAGTGATACTGTGAATGTTAACATAGGTTTATCCCGGCTATTTATAAAAATCATTCAAACTTATTCACCAACTCTAACATTCAATTTCGTCCGGCGAGAATAATTTAACACGCTTTTAACAAAACCAATAGTCATTTACCATCCAATTTTAAAATTTGGTCACCCTCTTTAGTCACCGGGTCGAGAATATTAGTCGTTACAGATCAAATACGTCTAAGCTGTTGCTGAATGGCAGCATTCAGAGATCGAGCTTATATATATCAATTAGACGAACTTGATTTCCGAATAACACAGTTTGGCATAGACAAAACGAAATCGAATACTCCGGGACAAAACGTGTGCTCATTATTTAAATTTGCTTGAACTGAATTTGAAATTGTCTAACAAAAGACGAAATTAAACATTAAAAGTGCACTAAATCGATGTTGCGGGATGAATTTGAATATAAGAATCGGTAAATTCGAATGAGAAACGTTTAAAATAGCCGGGAAACCATATATATGTAAATAGAAGGGTTCTTTTATACTAGAGTGGTACTAGAATGTCAGTACGTAAACATGGCTGTTTGTCCCCAATTGTTTCAGACTAGAATCGGTCGTGTGCACAAAAGCAGAGCACCTACTTGACTCACCCCTGCACCTCATCGAAACTATTTTTAAAAATGTATATATAAACTAAAAAGGGGCATCTTCTGTTTAAATAATTGAAAGATGTCAACATTTTGAATGAGGAACGAAGCGATCTGACAAGGCTAAATAACTAGAAAAATCAAAACCTGTCAAAGTTGTGAAGGACAAAACTCACGAATGAGAAAATGCTTATGATACCAGATACCGAGGGTTCGAACAATCCTTTACAACTTTTGATAAGGCATTGGTGTAGTCCGCTGAAGAGGCTTTGTCATCATTACCTTCAATTAGGAAGCATTCGCTGCTGCTTATGGCGGCTTCCGTGGCGGTGGTTTGACCGGCCGGACAGGACACGCAGGACTCCTGACCGAATCCCCCCTGATAGGTCCCCATGGCACACGGCAGACACGAGGGCATCGAGCCCGCTGCGGCCGAGTAGTACATACCACGAGGGCAAGCAACTGTTGAGAAACACATTTTGGTGGAGATTTAATGCTTTTGCTCCTTGATACATGTCCTGGTATACTTCGATGGACTTGACTGTAACATTTTTTTTACTTAACTAAAATTTGTCATTTAAACAAAAAAAATATATATCACAGCAGTATAAATTCGTATGGTATTACTGGCCTGTGACTTCGGTGTCTGCTTTACCTATTACATGTACTTCAGTAATTGGTGATTATGAGTTTTAATATCCGTTGGTCCTGACATGTGCTTATGAAAGGAGCTACAGAAGTGTACCATTTTGAAGCAAATTTTGCGAATCGTTGCACTTCAGTAAAATTAAACAATGAAATGAAAATACAATGTTACTTACTGCACACAGGGTCTTCAAGCACTGTGAACGACTTCAACTCAGTACCAGTCGGGCAAGTTGTCTGGTTGCCGAGGTAACTGTAAGCTATTAAGTCAGGAAAATAGCATATTGACATTATCTTATTTGAAATGAATGTTAAATTGAAATAATTCATACACATTTTAATTGCAAAACTGGTGTTTTGATATTGATTTAATACATGTATTGCATCGGTAATACTTACGACTGCAGTCTGGTACCTCCCGCGAAGGCCACCACACGCCAAAGAAGCCGCACAGGTACACGTTTTCCGGGGGTCCGTCAAAGAAGTAATATGATTGGTTGCAGCGGGGCTCACAGATCTTGCCAAACATCCAATCAGAGCAGCCGCTCTCCCCGTTCAGCGGGCCGTTCGGTTTGCCGCACACGACGGCTGTTTGTAGAGAGGAAGAAGAATTTAAAACAGAACGTGAAATTGGAATTAAAACAAAATTAATAGAATGAAATAAAATACACAAATATAATACGTACTCTGGATGGATATGCTGAACTTGCAGGTGGCTGAATTGCCTGCCGCATCACGGACGTCTGTCAGGAAGGTGTACGTGCCCCACGTGAAACGGCCTTCCGGTGACTACACGACAAGCAAGAGAACAAGGTCCAACGAGTGAGTGATTCGTTGCAGTTCCCCAAGTTTTGTAAATGTTTGCTCAGTTTTGTTTTAATACAAATGGATTTCTCTAAATTCCATTTTTTATCCATCCAAATTCATCACCAGAACCCCCCCCCCCCCCAATGCTAAATGCAAACAAGTTAAGTCAACATTCACTTCCACTTGCCCTGCCATACTTTTAACCAAGGCTAGTCACCAGCAGTCGGATCACAATTATGTCAAGCAAGCACTGTGACTAGTCAAACTGGGTCAACAGACAAAGCAGGCAAGTTGTGGATCACAGCTGTTTTATTATCACTCATCCGCAGTCAAAGCATAGCTGTATCAAGTTACTTAAACAGTCCCGGCCAGTCAATCCTGCTTCATGTAGGCTGGGAATTCTTAACTGTTGAAAACAGTCACTTTATTTATTTTGACCGAAAGGACTATTTTGGCACAGAATGTGTGTTTGCATATGAGGTTTGAAAATGTGTCGACTCACGATCCAGGTGTTGTTCCCCACCACCGCGACGTTGTCGGTGGCCACCGGGGGCTCCCACTCGATCTCTGGGTACTGCTCCTGGGTGTTCACGGTGAAGGACTCCGGGCAGAACTCGAAGACTGGAGGTTCCTCATCTGAAGATGTCAAAGATGAAATGGAAAACAAAATGACACCGATAAACTGAACTCCCCCTGCCGATTTTGACTGGGGTACAGGAGCGCAGCAAGCATCACTTGTTCCTATCTATACTATTATTTTCTTTATTCAAGTAGCCCTTAACATTTCAAATACTTTTGGCCTTGTAATGCTGGGCAACTGCCATTAAAATTAGACCCTGTCGTAAAATTATGAAATTGACTGGAGGGGGGTTTGAACCTGCGACCTCCCTAACACCGTACCTGAGCTCTACTAACGGATCAATCCAGCCCTATGTTGGCACTTGCCCAGTTTGTCAAGATCCTTGTTCAAGGGTGCTTGTCAGAAGCCATAACCCTCATATGCCAAGTAGCCAGGGATCACTCCAAAATCATAATGCTAGCAACATTAGCAATGTTGCAAACCTTGCAAATATCAACAGAGAGGATACGACTCATACCTGTGACGATAACGGTCAAAGAGCACGTGGCCAAAGATTCCGTGGAGTTGCTCCAGGCCGTGTAGGTGACCGTGGTCCTACCGGCAGGGAACGGGTGACCGACGGCTGGTACGCTGGCCTCCAGACGGTCTAAGGTGTGCACCGGCTTGGGCAGGTCGACTACGGCGTGTGATTCGCCTGGCTCCAGCACTACGGACACGTCCCGTGGGCAAGTTACCTCGGAAACTATGGTCATTACAAAAGAGAAAAGAGTGAAAAGGCAAAGTTGTGGAAACGGACAATCACAATCTAAGTCAATCACAACATCAGGTCACAAGTCAAGCCACAAAAATAATGTGTTTGTCACAATCTATTCGAATACATGTAGGCCTTGTCTGATTTGACTTTGGACACGCTAGTGGTTGGCTTGTAATGACTTGCGATGACTTGGGATGACTTACGATAACCAAGTGCCTTTTATTACAAATTGAATAATTATGCGAAAATGTAAGGTTCCCTACATTTGGGAATTGAACTACATTCATTGTGTGGAATGCGCACATTACAAACTAATCGGCCTAATTACATTTTCTGATTTTCTGATAACCCATTTTCCAATAATACCCCGTTATAAAGTATCATACTCCCAAACAGTCTGGTACATTCGACACTGGTCACTCTCTTTTTCTTCCCATCGTCGGGGAACAAGACAGCAATGGACCCTTGTATTGAGACGTTTGTGTCAAATTTCACAGTATTTCCATTTAATTTGGGCAAAATTCTAAATGATCAGTCTGAATTCTGAGATGAAGCCGAAAAAACCGACGTTTTGGAAATGGGAAAGTCTCACCCTCACTGCAAGACGGCTTCTCATTGGACCATTCCCCGCATGCCTGGCAATTCGTCAAGGAAGAGCCAATCAGCGTGTAGCCTTCATCGCAGGAGTAGGCGCAGATGCCGCTGAACTCGATCTCGCCGTCCTGCAGGCACGATGGCGGACTCACCAGGCCGTGATCGGGATGCTGTAGCCCCGGACAACGTACAGCTACACAGCATCACAAGGAGGCATTATTAGACTCTTTCACGTGTGTCGTGATAATATTACTCCCGTGAGAATGTTGCCTCCGTGTGATCTGCGCATGTGTGTACAGATTCCCACACCTCAGTGTCCTTTTGTTTTTGAATAGTCCTCCAAGATTAATATGTACACAATTCAAAGTCATCACGATGACAAGTTACATGAGTTCATTACATGAGAATTAATCTGTATCTGAATATGGGTATTAAAAACAACGATGCCAGTTTCTCACCTTAAGTCGATTTTTTTTATGACTTTCGGCCACATACGTTTCATTTATTTTCAGGATACGAAATTGAATCATGCCGTTAATGTTGGTCAAATTAGGGCGACCATACACTTTCAACCAGCTGGTTTGAAATAACGTTGGGTATATTTTTCTAACAACCGGCAAATGGTGTGAAATTACTTGTATTACTTGAAAAATAGAGATCACTGCAAATAAGGTGGCTCTGATCGGCCACATGCGTTTCAATGTTTTCCAAAATGAAATTTTACCATTCTGTGAAAAGTTGCTCACATTAGGGTGACCATACACTGTAAATCTGCTTGTATGAAATGATGTTGGGTAGTTTTATAACAACCGGCCAACAGAATAACATATACTTAAATAACTTGTTAATTTGAGTACGTTAACAGTTTTTGTAAAGAGATTTTGGCCAAAAGTGGCCAACGCTGGGCAACAAGTTCAGCAGCAATTGCCCACTTTGAAGTGTGTACAATATCGACCAAAGATGACCATTAATGAACGCCGGGTGTAGAACATTACTGCAAAACGCAAGTTCACGTCTACGGCTTAGTGGAAAATCCCCGGTGATAAATTCATGAAACATGTTAGACTTACGATTGCAGGCTACTGGCTCGCCCGACCACCGACCGGTATTCTGGCAGGTCTTTCTGGCGTTTCCTTGCAGCTCGTAACCGTTCTTACAGCCGAGTCGGCACGTGGTTCCAACTACAGCAAACGATCAAATACACGCTTGATCTTCTCAGCAAGTTGGACTGATATATTTAACTCAAAAATACTATGACAAGGGAATTGGATTAATTTCTGTTTTTTTGCTTCACATTTTGCAGAACTGTTTTAAAATTTACTTTCTGTTTTTAATAACATCATTTAATGAAGTTTTTAAAATTTATATTGAGGGCTTATATTTCTTTCATTTTAGCCTTTTTATTGCAACAAACTTGTAAACGAAAGCAACACAGCCCTTATGAAGAAATAAACAAATCAAAAAACAAATGAAATGATAATTTATCCAATAAATGTCAAATAAAAGTGAAAGCACTACCAGCCTGCACAGATCGTTGATTTTAACCCCCCAAAAATTAAACCAAGTTGCAATACATTAAATAAGTTTTTGTATTTTTTTAAAATACGATTTTGCATCGATTCCATACCTATGATCTGATTGGTGGCGTGGGTACCAAGACAATGGTCTCTAGGGGACACATTCATGTTTTCCGACAGGACCAATGGACTGCACGTCACAGCTGGAAAATAATAAATGTGAATAAAGTGTTGGGGGAATGGAAACAAGTTGTAAAATGAGTTAATGGAATTGGATGTCTTTATTAAGATGAGTTGGTTGAGTTTCATGCCTATTGACTAATACGCGATGTGGCAATAGGCCACGCCCACTTTGCAAGTGGGCAACATTCGGTTACACAATCACGGCTGTGATTGGTCGAAACATCAGGGGCGGGCACAGGACACAGTTAAGTATTTTATCCAGTTCGTACTGTAACTGCGTCATATACGCGCACGCACAGCCGATTACTTGCACCCATTGGCTAAACTCGCCACTGTGCACTACTTCCGGTTCCAGTGATTTCAAATGCTGCTCCGTGTGTAGTGGGCGTGGTTTAAGTTCAAATGACCTCACACTTACGAACGGGATGGGCGGGGCACATGGTATACGACAAGATGAAGTTGCCAGTGTAAAATTAATACAGTGCGGTAAACCATGCAGCAAGTGGTTCAATATAGAAACAACTTTGTGAATGTCCGTCTCGCACTCGTTTACGTCTACCAAAAAAATGAGCGAAAAAAACTCAAAATATAAACTGAAAAGCCTTTTCCTGTATTCCTATTTTCAAGATCAAGGTGAACATTAATGGCAACTGTATTCATCGACTTTCATACCCCCTTTGATTTGAAAGTGTTTTGGTCTTTAATTCACGAAAATGAAACGCTTTAACAAGTTTTGTTGTTTGACAAATTTAGAATCATTATCCAGACTAATACTAAGTTTTGGTAATGGAAACAGTGTTGTACTGGATCCCTATAATTATTATAGCTTGAAGTGGCTGATCATTATTTCATTTCACTTCAACATCCACTTGGTGGATTTGTTTCCCATTAATAAATAGGCGTCCAGGGAGCCACATATTTACGTCATTCAATTTCATTTGAATATCATGGTGGTGTTGCAAATAAAACTCAAACTCAGAATTGGTCTGATCGAACGATCAGATGCTCACCGGCACAGAGGTAGGGATCAGAGGGATCCACGGTATAACCATCGCTACAGTCACAGACGAAGCTACCCTCCGTGTTGAAGCACTGGTGCTGGCAGCCGCCATTACTCTGAGAACATTCGTCGTGGTCTGAAAACCAGGTACCATTGATACGAGTGTAAGCTTATTTCTTTCTTAAACAGCTTCATTACAAGTACATGCATGGCTAAATTTTTCATCGATGTCAATTGTCGCGATTGTCGTCTTTAATGTTTTCATCAGCATCACAACTGTCAAAATAATCATTGTACAGTAACTGACTGACCATCTTAATTGTCACTGTAAGTAATAATAACACATTTTGTAATAATGTAAAAATAATAATTATTACTGATAATGGGTCACTAAAAAGACACTGACTTGTGCACACATTTGTTTTCCAACTTTATTGACCCCTAACCCCAATTTTACCTTATCCTACTGCACGAATGTTCGTATTTTTACTAACTGGACCACGGGCAATCGATCTAGCCTATTTGCGATATTAAAAGTTTGCCTCTAAATTGGGGTTGGGGCATTAAGGAGACATTGAAATGTCTCCCTAACTCCACATGTCTCCCAAAGGTATAACTTATGACTCTAAAGTGTCTCCCGACGGTCCTACGTGAGGTTGTAATGTGGTGCTTATAATCCATTATAGAAAAGGTCTCAAAGCACTTTACAACTTTTACCCCTGTTCATCAGGCCAAGAGGCCATTTTGTTGCAGCAGCTCGAGGTCAGAATATTCTGTCTTTAACTTCACAGGTACCCATTTATACTCCTAAGTGGAGAGAGGCAATTGTAGTAAAGTGCCTTGCCCAAGGACACAAGCACCAGGTTCCTCGTCAGGAAAGTTTGAATGGAACACCACAGCGCTTTGTTCTCAGCACTGTCAATGTCATTCTTATGGTCCTTGCCACATCCTTCGCTTCTGTCAATGTCACCGACTTTGTCACTAGCATCATCAACATCAAGTTCATCATCATGAACATTAACATAAGTGGCGTCACCACCGTCACCATTTTCATTTTAAAAAAAACCCATAAAACTTAATTGACAAAATAATGCAGTCACCTTGGCACGTCGATCCATCGTCCATCAGCATGTAGCCGTTCGGGCATGCGCAGTAGAAGCTGCCCGGAGTGTTGATGCAGTGCTGCTTGCATCCCCCGTTGTCCTGCTCACATTCGTCAATATCTCAATCGAAAGAGTTAGGGAGAAACTCAAAAGTTAGGATGATTCAACAGCTCTTTGGGAGAGAGGTGTTAAAACTGTTTCAGCTTACGTGTTTGTATCTAGAGGGTTTGGCAAAAGGTTTATTTTACATGTATGATGACTGATATTTGAAATTGCGGCAAATAACTGAGATCTAGATAACGAAAAACAGTAGGAATATCACTGATTTGATTTAATAAATCTACGATTGATTTTAAACAAAATCAGAGGACAGTAACACTGGCTATTCTACCTCTTTAAAAGGGGAATAGGCAAGTTTCAAAACAGAGGGAAACTGAATAATGGAATAGTATGTCAGAACTCTGGAAGTATTTTTTTTTGAAGAGTAATTTTGGTTTTTCTTTTTTTACCTTTGCAGGGTATATCACGAGTGTAGTCTCCGGTGTAGCCAGGCGAGCACAGGCAGTCCCGGATCGAAGCCTTGCCCCTGCCGACGGTTCGCGAATGGGCCGGGCACTCCAGACACTCGTTGGCGGTGGCGCTGCGGTACGAGTTGGGCCTGCATTCTGAATCGGGTCGAAGGCAGCAAATAGATCTTGTCAATAGTTTGCAATTATCAGGAACCATGGATTGTATTAAGGGCACCAGTTTGAATACATTGAACTGTGGATCATAAGAAGTTTGACAAAGTAGTGTAGATTTCAACCATAAGAAATCAGTATCAAACTATCTTCAATTCGTTTTGGCTGTGTCTCTTGATCATTCAGTGTTTTCCATTTTTGCACGGTATACATGTTCTTAAACTTAAGGGATTGGCAATGATGAATAAATGAATACTGCCGCGATGAATTGGAAAAAGAAAATGGAATTGTCCATTGACCTTTGACCGATGAGGGCGTGCTTACCTTGACACGATCTCCCATCAGGCATCAGGATGTTGCCAGGTGGACAGTCGCAGCGATAGGTGCCAGGGACATTCACGCATGCGTGTTGGCAGTCATGTGACCTGGAATTCTGACACTCGTCAATATCTGCACAAAAAATGAAACAAAATCGAAAAAGTTTAATAGAACTACAAATTTTGGCCTGAGATTGATGAACATCACATCTGAAAGTAGACTTCGGCCCATTAAGTGCCATTTAGCAATTTCGTTTTCAATGTTAAGCGTATTTCTTTTTGACTTCAATTCAAATATGGATAAATAACGGTCACCTTCACAGCTGTGACGGTCAGCGGCGAGTCGGTACCCAGACTCTGTACATCTACAGTTATAGGAGCCCCACGTATTGGTGCACTGTCCCTGGCAGATATTAGACTCCACACACTCGTTGCGATCTGCAAATCACGGTTTCAAATGACACAAATCAGTGAAAATGATTAGTTTCAGAAAAGGAAATTATCATGCCTATAAGCGGACAGACAAAAAGATGTTCGATTATAAAGTTACTTTTTGACGAAACAAAAATCGCAATTTTCAATGTAGCATGTAAAACGGCCATTTTTAAAAGTGTGCCTAATTTCGACGAGTTTTGGATCTTCAATTTCTTATACGTTTTCGGAGAAACGACTATGAAATTACATTACTTTACAACATTCAAAATTGTTCCTCGTGAAGTTTTACACACAAAACATAGCATTTACTACTTTTATTACCATCCAATTAGCCGAGCATAACTTTAACGTGAGAAAAAAATACCATAAAAAAAAGGAACAGTAAGCCCAGCAGTTAGGTAGTTATGCCTCTAAAGAAACCCCAACTAGAAAGCCTCATGGCTGATGTTAATTTTGAAGTCCCATCTTACCGATGCAACTGGCACCGTTGGGAGCGGGCTTATAGCCGTCAGCGCAGGTACATATCTTGACGCCGTCGGGTTGGGAGCAGGAAGTGGAGTATCGTCCGCAACTGCATGGGATTTCTACCAAAAGAACAATTGTCTTTCAAAACTTGTCGTCACTGTTTAACTCAACTTTAAACTTATCTTTTTTTCCTCGAAATCGTTGAAACCAACCAATACCAACCAGGTATCGAGTAATTAGTTATTCGACACAAGGACGATAGAAAAGCAGTATCAAGAAATTTCGAAAATGGATTATGGATTTTTGTAGTGCATACCACAAGCAACTATAGCTAGGCCTACATGGCATTTTTTTCAGTAACGTTTATTTCCATCAAAAGCACAGCAAAGGCATTATGCGAACAGTAACAAGTTGTATTATGACGGAGGCATGGTTTAAAAAGCCTATACTTAAATGCAAATCTGGAAAGAAAACTATTTCAAAGAATTTGAAGAAAAACAGACAACCAATAGACAGATATGAAACACAACAATAACCAATGACAGACTGACCAATGACCAATGACAGACTGGTCAAAGACATTACATAACAATAACACTAAATAAATAATACGAGGAAATATGGAGCAAATTATACATGCACGGTAAAATAGAACTTTTCGTACTTATCAGCCATTATCTAATCTTTTATCTTCAAATGATTGCAAGAAGAACTCAACACCAAGAATTGAGTCATCACTTTGACAGACAGAAAGATGACAAACAACCGCCAAAAGAATTTCAGAAACAGAATGAATCGTTTTGTGTAGGATTTATTGTTTAATACTAAACGAGTCATCATTTTGCTAGACAGAAAGATGACAAAGAACCGCCAAAGGAATTTTTAAAAAATAGACTGGTTTTTGTGTTTGTAGAATTTATTATTGCTTCATCAATCGAAGATTCAATCAACGTATTTTATTTGCTACGAGCGAGTGGATGTACGCCTATTTTCTGAAAACTCTGTATTAATTGGGTGTCTCCAGTTTCCAAATACAAGTATACCCATACAAGGGTGAAGCAAAAGACTTTTCCCGTAAATTACCTTCGCAGGAACGTTCATCAGCGGCGAGACGAAGCCACCTCTGTGGGCAAGAGCAGCTGTAGGAGCCCTGGGTATTATAACACGCCGCCTGGCAGTCGGCTAGACTATTCCCGCTCTCTTGACACTCATCGATGTCTGTTGGGAAAATTAGAGATAATCAGAGTTTTGGATTAAGAAAAAAATGGAGAGGAAGGGCTTGGGTTCACCAACCGGACAAAAGAGGAATCAGGAAAATGGAGGTGGACAATAAGTCACCCTAATAGGAGGAGACAGTAGGATTAGAGCATAAAAGGTACAGGGAAACAGGCAAAAGAATGGACCCAAAAAAGGTTGTTTCATCGTCATGCGATACCGAAGTGAGCAAAAAAGACAGCACTATTTTTAATAGTTAGGAGGACCGAGCAAGTATCTAAAATTGCAAAAATATTAGCAGACCTAGTTACGTACATAACTGGCCAATTATTTAGGGCTGAACCCTTAGGAATAATGGGAAATCGAGAATTGTTCACGAAAGCTTAAAATTGGCTTGCAATAATTCTAAGCTGTCATCTGACATCCGTCACCCCTATAATCCTGCGTTAACTTACCGACACAGCTTGTCCCATCAACAGCGGGTCTGTAGCCCTGAAGACAGGCGCAGATTTTCTGGCCGTCGGGCTGGGAGCAAGTGTCGGTGCCAGCGCCGCAACTGCATGGCATTACTACATCAAATACATCAATAAGAGCCAGTAGCATTGGGTCAGCAATTGGTTTTGCTGAGACGTTTTACTAACTTATTTCTAATTATACAACTCTAGCAAAGCCTAAATTTGGTTGCTCTGTCTTGAACATTTCTATAAAATGTTTTTTTTTTTAACCAAAAGTACCTTCGCAGGTCCGTTTGTCTGCTGCGAGACGGAGCCACTCCTGTGGGCATAGGCAATAGTAGGAACCCAGTGTATTACGACACGCTGCCTCGCAGTCGGCTAGACCGTCCCCGCTCTCTCGGCACTCATCAATGTCTGTTGGGAAATCAGAGATTTAAAACATCAGTTTTCATAGCTTGTTACTTTAAACAATACAAGGGTCATGTCTTGGAAGACATAAGATGATTGACGAAAACAGCAGTGAAGCTACATTGACTTAAACTTTAATGCAGCCTTGAGTTCTTTTGCTGCTCCTTGAGAAACCTTGGAAATGAAACTTACCATTGCACTCAGTGCCATCGGAGCTGGGCCTGTACCCCTGAGCACATGTGCATTTCTTTAGTCTGTTAATCTCCTTGGGTCGGGTTAGGTTGGGATGGGTTTGATCTGGTTGGGTCGGGTCGGGTCGGGTTAGGTTGGGTTGGGTCGGGTTGGGTTCAACCTCGTCCCCAGGGTGTCGAGCAGTACGCGCCCACCACTACCTGTTCTCTCACCCTGGCATTGGATCATTTGCATGTGCAAGATTTTTGCACACGTATGCAAATAGGCAACAGTCTGGTGCCTGGATATGCGTTACACATTAGCGCTTGTTTTTGTATGCGGTGTCTGGGCTAAAAACAGAGTCAATTCGTAGCAGCGCGAGCCGGCGGCGTGAGTTACGAAAACACTGCATGTTGTCTTATCAAGACAACATGCAGTATCATACTTCATATTAATATAAGCAAATTGGAAAGGAAATTAATATTAAAAGGAAAGGAAATTAATATTAAAATTGGAAAGGAAATTAATATTTTCGAGAAGGCGTGGACGAATGATCGCGAAAACACGTACTGCACGTTGTGAATATATAGCACCAAGTACACGATAAAAATCCATTACTAGCCAATTGCGGTATCCAATCAGGATACAGGAATAAAGTTTCCTATCCAGGGTTTACTATTGGAAACGCGGTTGGAAATAAAGTAAGCACTGGGGACGAGGTTGGGTTGGGTTGGGTCGGGTTGGGTTCAATTTCGTAGAAACTTACCAAGACAGTGGAAGCCATCCGTGCTTGCCCTGTATCCCGCAAAACATCGACACCTTTGAGCAACACCCCATGGGTACACCCCCTTTGATTTGAAAGTGTTTTGGTCTTTAATTCACGAAAATGAAACGCTTTAACAAGTTTTGTTGTTTGACAAATTTAGAATCATTATCCAGACTAATATTAAGTTTTGGTAATGGAAACAGTGTTGTACTGGATCCCTATAATTATTATAGCTTACAGTGGCTGATCATTATTTTATTTCACTTCAACATCCACTTGGTGGATTTGTTTCCCATTAATAAATAGGCGTCCAGGGAGCCACATATTTACGTCATTCAATTTCATTTGAACATCATTGTGGTGTTGCAAATAAAACTCAAACTCAGAATTGGTATGATCGAACGATCAGATGCTCACCGGCACAGAGGTAGGGATCCGAGGGATCCACGGTATGACCATCGTTACAGTCACAGACGAAGCTACCCCCTGTGTTGAAGCACTGGTGCTGGCAGCCGCCATTACTCTGAGAACATTCGTTGTGGTCTGAAAACCAGGTACCATTGATACGAGTATAAGCTGATTTCTTTCTTAAACAGCTTCATTACGAGTACATGCATGGCTAAATTTTTCATCGATGTCAATTGTCGCGATTGTCGTCTTTAATGTTTTCATCAGCATCACAACTGTCAAAATAATCATTGTACAGTAACTGACTGACCATCTTCATTGTCACTGTAAGTAATAATAACACATTTTGTAATTATGTAAAAATAATAATTATTACCGATAATGGGTCACTAGAAAGACATTCCCACTGAACTGTGCACACATTTTTTTTCCAACTTTATTGACCCCTAACCCCAATTTTACCTTATCCTACTGCACGAATGTTCGTATTTTTACTAACTGGACCACGGGCAATCGATCTAGCCTATTTACGATATTAAAAGTTTGCCTCTAAATTGGGGTTGGGGCATTAAGGAGACATTGAAATGTCTCCCTAACTCCACGTCTCCTAAAGGTATAACTAATGACTCTAAAGTGTCTCCCGACGGTCCTACGTGCGGTTGTAATGTGGTGCTTAAAATCCATAATACAAAAGGTCTCAAAGCACTTTACAACTTTTACCCCTGTTCATCAGGCCATGAGGCCATTTTGTTGCAGCAGCTCAAGATCAGAATATTCTGTCTCTGCCTTCACATGTACCCATTTATACTCCTAAGTGAAGAGAGGCAATTGTACTAAAGTGCCTTGCCCAAGGACACAAGCACCAAAGCACCAGGTTCCTCGTCAGGAAAGTTCGAATGGAACACCACAGCGCTTTGTTCTCAGCACTGTCAAATGTCATTCTTATGGTCCTTGCCACATCCTTCGCTTCTGTCAATGTCACCGACTTTGTCACTAGCATCATCAACATCAAGTTCATCATCATGAACATTAACATAAGCTGCGTCACCACCGTCAGTATTTTCATTTTAATAAAAAAACATAAAACTTAATTAAACAAAATAATGCAGTCACCTTGGCACGTCGATCCATCGTCCATCAGCATGTAGCCGTTCGGGCATGCGCAGTAGAAGCTGCCCGGAGTGTTGATGCAGTGCTGCTTGCATTTTCCGTTGTCCTGCTCACATTCGTTAATATCTCAATCGAAAGGGAGAAACTCAAAAGTTAGGATGATTCAACAGCTCTTTGGGAGAGAGGTGTTAAAACTGTTTCAGCTTGCGTGTTTGTATCTAGAGGGTTTGGCAAAAGGTTTATTTTACATGCATGATGACTGATATTTGAAATTGCGGCAAATAACTGAGATTTAGATAACGAAAAACAGTAGGAATATCACTGATTTGATTTAATAAATCTACGATTGATTTTAAACAAAATCAGAGGACAGTAACACTGGCTATTCTACCTCTTTAAAAGGGGAATAGGCAAGTTTTCAAAACAGAGGGAAACTGAATAAGGGAATAGTATGTCAGAACTCTGGAAATATTTTTTTTTTAAGAGTAATTTTGTTTTTCTTTTTTACCTTTGCAGGGTATATCAGAAGTGTAGTCTCCGGTGTAGCCGGGCGAGCACAGGCAGTCCCGGATCGAAGCCTTGCCCCTGCCGATGGTTCGCGAATGGGCCGGGCACTCCAGACACTCATTGGCGGTGGCGTTGCGGTACGAGTTGGGCCTGCATTCTGAATCGGGTTGAAGGCAGCAAATAGATCTTGTCAATAGTTTGCAATTATTCAGTACCATGGATTGTATTAAGGGCACCAGTTTGAATACATTGAACTGTGGATCATAACAAGTTTGACAAAGTAGTGTAGATTTCAGTATAAGAAGAAATCAGTATCGAACTATCTTCAATTCGTTTTTGGCTGTGTCTCTTGATGATTCAGTGTTTTCCATTTTTGCATGGTATACATGTACTTAAACTTAAGGGATTGGCAATGATGAATAAATGAAAATTGCCGCGATGAATTGGAAAAAGAAAATGGAATTGTCTATTGACCTTTGACCTATGAGGGCGTGCTTACCTTGACACGATCTCCCATCAGGCATCAGGATGTTGCCAGGTGGACAGTCGCAGCGATAGGTACCGGGGACATTCACGCATGCGTGTTGGCAGTCATGTGACCTGGAATTCTGACACTCGTCAATGTCTGCACAGAAAATGAAACAAAATCGAAAAAGTTTATTAGAACGACAAATTTTGGCCTGAGATTGATGAACATCACATCTGAAAGTAGACTTCGGCCTATTAAGTGCCATTTAGCAATTTCGTTTTCAATGTTAAGCGTATTTCTTTTTGACTTCAATTCAAATATGGATAAATAACGGTCACCTTCACAGCTGTGACGGTCAGCGGCGAGTCGGTACCCAGACTCTGTACATCTACAGTTATAGGAACCCCACGTATTGGTGCACTGTCCCTGGCAGATATTAGACTCCACACACTCGTTGCGATCTGCAAATCACGATTTCAAATGACACAAATCAGTGAAAATGATTAGTTACAGAAAAGGAAATTATCATGCCTATAAGCGGACAGACAAAAAGATGTACGATTATAAAGTTACTTTTTGACGAAACAAAAATCGCAATTTTCAATGTAGCATGTAAATGGCCGTTTTTAAAAGTGTGCCTAATTTCGACGAGTTTTGGCTCTTCAAATTCTTATACGTTTTCGGAGAAACGACTATGAAATTACATTACATTTAACAACATTCAAAATTGTTCCTCATGAAGTTTTACACACAAAACATAGCATTTACTACTTTTATTACCATCCAATTAGCCGAGCATAACTTATACGTGAGAAAAAAATACCATCAAAAAAAAAAGAAACAGTAAGCCCAGCAGTCAGGTAGTTATGCGTCTAAAGAAACCCCAACTAGAAAGCCTCATGGCTGATTGTTAATTTTGAAGTCCCAACTTACCGACGCAACTAGCACCGTTGGGAGCGGGCTTATAGCCGTCAGCGCAGGTACATATCTTGACGCCGTCGGGTTGGGAGCAGGAAGTGGAGTATCGTCCGCAACTGCATGGGATTTCTACCAAAAGAACAATTGTCTTTCAAAACTTGTCGTCACTGTTTAACTCAACTTTAAACTTATCTTTTTTCCCTCGAAATCGTTGAAACAAGAATACCAACCAGGTATCGAGTAATTAGTTATTCGACACAAGGACGATAGAAAAGCAGTATCAAGAAATTTCGAAAATGGATTATGGATTTTTGTAAGGCATACCACAAGCAACTATAGCTAGGCCTACATGGAATTTTTTTCAGTAACATTTATTTTCATCAAAAGCAAAGCAAAGGCATTATGCGAACGGTAACAAGTTGTATTAGGACGGAGGCGTGGTTTTAAAAAGCCAAAGCTAATAGATACATGCCTATACTTAAATGCGAATCTGGAAAGAAAATGATTTCAAGGAATTTGAATAAAAACAGACAACCAGTAGACAAATATGAAACACAACAATAACCAATGACAGACTGACCAACATACAGACAACAGCGGTCAAAGACATTACATAACAATAACATTAAATAATACGAGGAAATATGGAGCAAATTATACATGCACGGTAAAATAGAACTTTTCGTACTTATCAGCCATTATCTAATCTTTTATCTTCAAATGATTGCAAGAAGAACCCAACACCAAGAATTGAGTCATCACTTTGACAGACAGAAAGATGACAAACAACCGCCAAAAGAATTTTAGAAACAAAATGAATCGTTTTGTGTAGGATTTATTGTTTAATACTAAACGAGTCATCATTTTGCTAGACAGAAAGATGACAAAGAACCGCCAAAGGAATTTTTAAAAAATAGACTGGTTTTTGTGTTTGTAGGATTTATTATTGCTTCATCAATCGAAGATTCAATCAACGTATTTTATTTGCTACGAGCGAGTGGATGTAGGCCTATTTTCTGAAAACTCTGTATTAATTGGGTGTCTCCAGTTTCCAAATACAAGTATACCCATACAACGGTGAAGCAAAAGACTTTTCCCGTAAATTACCTTCGCAGGAACGTTCATCAGCGGCGAGACGAAGCCACCTCTGTGGGCAAGAGCAGCTGTAGGAGCCCTGGGTATTATAACACGCCGCCTGGCAGTCGGCTAGACTATTCCTGCTCTCTTGACACTCATCGACGTCTGTTGGGAAAATCAGAGATAATCAGAGTTGTGGATTAAGAAAAAAATGGAGAGGAAGGGCTTGGGTTCACCAACTGGACAAAAGAGGAATAAAGAAAAGGGAAGTGGACAATAAGTCACCCTTATAGGAGGAGACAGTAGGATTAGAGCATAAAAGGTACAGGGAAACAGGCAAAAGAATGGACCCAAAAAAAAGGTTGTTTCATCGTCATGCGATACCGAAGTGAGCAAAAAAGACAGCACTATTTTTAATAGTTAGGAGGACCGAGCAAGTATCTAATATTGCAAAAATATTAGCAGACCTAGTTACGTACATAACTGGCCAATTATTTAGGGCTGAACCTTTAGGAATAATGGGAAATCGAGAATTGTTCACGAAAGCTTAAAATTGGCTTGCAATAATTCTATGCTGTCATCTGACATCCGTAACCCCTATAATCCTGCGTTAACTTACCGACACAGCTTGTCCCATCAACAGCGGGTCTGTAGCCCTGAAGACAGGTGCAGATTTTCTGGCCATCGGGCTGGGAGCAAGTGTTGGTGCCAGCGCCGCAACTGCATGGCATTACTAGATTAAATACATCAATGAGAGCTGGTAACATTGGGTCAGCAATTGGTTTTGTCGAGACGTTTTACTAACTTATTTCTACTTATTTCTGTAATTATACAACTCTAGCAAAGCCTAAATTAGGTTGCTCTGTCTCGAACATTTCTATAAATGCAGTGAAGCTACATTGACTTACTCTTTAATGCAGCCTTGAGTTCTTTTGCTGCTCCTTGAGAAACCTTGGAAATGAAACTTACCATCACACTCAGTGCCATCGGAGCTGGGCCTGTACCCCTGAGCACATGTGCATTTCTTTAGTCTGTTAATCTCCTTGGGTTGGGTTGGGTTGGGTTAGGTTGGGTTGGGTCGGGTTGGGTCGGGTTCAATTTCGTAGAAACTTACCAAGACAGTGGAAGCCATCCGTGCTTGCCTTGTATCCCGCAATACATCGACACCTTCGAGCAACACCCCATGCGTACACGCACTCACCGTGTTCGCCACAGTTACACCTACCTTGGTTCTCTGAATAAGACAATATGCACAATGGTAATCACAATGCTTACTGATACAATGAATTGTGAATACAGAAAGTAATCAACCAATTAACCTCAAAATAAATTAACTTTTTCTCTTCTTCTTTTCACTCCAAGTTAGGCAGGCACACTTCAATTCATTTACACTCAGCAGAGAATTCAGATAATTTTAATTCTTGTCTTTATTTCTTGTTTGTCCACTCATGTTTATAAATTGCTTTGTTTGTTTGCTCTGGCATGGCTTTTAGCCTTACTGAAATAAATGTTTTGTATTAATGAATGAATGAATGAATGAATGAATGAATGAATGAATGAATGAATGAATGAATGAATGAATGAATGAATGAGACATCAGACAGACAAGATTATTATCATAATAACTCACGTATACAAGAGGTTTTGTCGGGCGCCAAATTGAAGCCTGAGTGACAATAGCAAACAAAACTTCCCGGGGAGTTGTAACATATGTGCTGACAGGGTCCTCTGCCAACGTTAGTTGAACACTCGTTGAAATCTAGAGGGAAGACCGATCGACACAAACAACAATAGTTCAAAGCTATCTCGTTTGTGTGATGTACAAATCCACTGTATCGCCTCATGGAGGAAGGATAATAATTCCTCTGTGTATGCGTGTAATCTGGACACGTTGGTTTTTGTCTTCAGATTCGTAAACAAGACTCCTGTGAAATCCCCACGAGTCAATAAAAGTCAAACTGACCTACAAGTTATTCAGTCTGTTATGTCCCAGAAAAAAAGTCATTATTTTGTCATTATTCATGTATAAACCTGACTTGTGATTGACTTGTGACTAACTTTTGATTGACTTTTGATTGACTAGGTAAGAACTTTTTTTTCTTTCTGTGCACCAATTTCATTTGTATAAGCATCCTGAGATTTCAACCAGTAGTCAGAGATATCGGCAAGGGCTTTGATCAGTTTCCGGTAACAAACCTCTAAGCTTATGCAGTCGCATGGTTACCATCGTCGTATAGCTGGGCCAGAGACACATTTTGCCAATCTGATTGCATGTATGTATTAAGAAAGAAATCCATCAATGTTTTATTCAGCAAAGTCAAAGTTAACTATAGAATGACTGTAAAACCCCAAAAATGGTGGGAAAGTTAACAGTTGTGTACCTTGGCATGTCTTGCCGTCTGAAGCTAGTTTGTACCCGTCCCGGCACGAGCAAATTGCGCCGTGAGGTCCGTTCCTGCATATCTGTTGGCAGCCGCCATTTCTATTACCACAAGTGGCTGTAGCAAATAGGCACGAGAGAAAGGGACATTCTTCATCTCATTGGGTATGTTGTGGTTTTTTGTTTTTACTTGTTCTGCGGTGTTGTTTGGAACTAGACGGCATAGTCTGTACATTTTTTCCAATTACTCTTAATATTTAATTTATTTGAATGGCTTTTGAGGGACTTTTTGTGTTGACTATCAGGGAACTAATTTGTAGTGGTAGGATTTGCCCTTCTCCGACGCAATGCTTGTAAGCACTGTATTTTCTTTGCTAAGCTTGCTCGGCTCAAACCCAGGACTTCCTGCATACTAGTTCAGATAATGTGTTCACCACTCTATACCACCAGCTTACCCGGGTCGGCTAGCCGGTTCGAATCTTATAAAGCAGCCATTTCTGTTGTGACGGTGAGTTGTAAACATCTGCAGCATTTATCAAAAGAACGTAGGGTACTTACATAGGCAATTTGGTGGTGTTCCAACAACGCTGCCAGCAGAGCAGTACACTGCATAGTTGGCTGGGTACAAGGTAAAGCCATGGTGACATCTGTAAGTGATAGCGTAAAAGAAGGTCCTGGACGCATCATATTTATTTACATACACAGGGGGGTTAGCATTCTCTACTCTGGGTGCAGTACCACAGCGATCGCCTTCCAGTACCGTAGCAGGATAGCCGCCGCTCTGCAACTGACAGGTTGGTAATGTCCCGTTCCACACCAGGCCGTTGCAGAAGAGCACCGAGGAACCCCTTATCTTGTACCCAGACCGGCACTCGATCTTCAGCATCGCTCCTGCATTCTTGATGTTGATGATGCCGTTCTGAACAGCTGTATTCCTCGGAACTTGACAACCCTGGCCTGTGTTGAGAAGAAAAAAATGACTCTTCATTTCTGAATTAAGTCAACGAAAATTCATCTTTGATGTATGTGCCAGGATGAATAACCTTGTGTCCGATCCGATGCAGTGAAAAATCTGTTAATAACACTGGCAGTTAAGAATGAGAGCTGAACCCGACCACAAAATCTTAATATAAGGAGAGTAAGAGACCACTTGGGTTTTTTTTGGGGGGGGGGGGGGGGGCTGGCAGAGAGGAGATAAGCTATTTCCAGATTTATTTAAATGTTTTCTTTCATTTTACACTGCATCGGATCGGACACAAGGTTATTTATCCTGGCACATACATCAAAGATGAATTTTTCGTTGACTTGTGACTAACTTTTGATTGACTTTTGATTGACTAGGTAAGAACTTTTTTTTCTGTGCACCAATTTCATTTGTATAAGCATCCTGAGATTTCAACCAGTAGTCAGAGATATCGGCAAGGGCTTTGATCAGTTTCCGGTAACAAACCTCTAAGCTTATGCAGTCGCATGGTTACCATCGTCGTATAGCTGGGCCAGAGACACATTTTGCCAATCTGATTGCATGTATGTATTAAGAAAGAAATCCATCAATGTTTTATTCAACAATAGAATGACTGTAAAAACCCCAAAATGGTGGGAAAGTTAACAGTTGTGTACCTTGGCATGTCTTGCCGTCTGAAGCTAGTTTGTACCCGTCCCGGCACGAGCAAATTGCGCCGTCAGCTCCGTTCCTGCATATCTGTTGGCAGCCGCCATTTTGATAACCACAAGTGGCTGTAGCAAATAGGCACGAGAGAAAGGGACATTCTTCATCTCATTAGGTATGTTGTGGTTTTTTGTTTTTACTTGTTCTGCGGTGTTGTTTGGAACTAGACGGCATAGTCTGTACATTTTTTCCAATTACTCTTAATATTTAATTTATTTGAATGGCTTTTGAGGGACTTTTTGTGTTGACTATCAGGGAACTAATTTGTAGTGGTAGGATTTGCCCTTCTCCGACGCAATGCTTGTAAGCACTGTATTTTCTTTGCTAAGCTTGCTCGGCTCAAACCCAGGACTTCCTGCATACTAGTTCAGATAATGTGTTCACCACTCTATACCACCAGCTTACCCAGGTCGGCTAGCCAGTTCGAATCTTATAAAGCAGCCATTTCTGTTGTGACGGTGAGTTGTAAACATCTGCAGCATTCATCAAAAGAACGTAGGGTACTTACATAGGCAATTTGGTGGTGTTCCAACAACGCTGCCAGCAGAGCAGTACACTGCATAGTTGGATGGGTACAAGGTAAAGCCATGGTGACATCTGTAAGTGATAGCGTAAAAGAAGGTCCTGGACGCATCATATTTATTTACATACACAGGGGGGTTAGCATTCTCTACTCTGGGTGCAGTACCACAGCGATCGCCTTCCAGTACCGTAGCAGGATAGCCGCCGCTCTGCAACTGACAGGTTGGTAATGTCCCGTTCCACACCCGGCCGTTGCAGAAGAGCACCGAGGAACCCCTTATCTCGTACCCAGACCGGCACCCGATCTTCAGCATTGCTCCTTCATGCTTGATGTTGATGATGCCGTCCTGAACAGCTGTAGTCCTCGGAACTTGACAACCCTGGCCTGTGTTGAGAAGAAAAAAATGACTCTTCATTTCTGAATTAAGTCAACGAAAATTCATCTTTGATGTATGTGCCAGGATGAATGACCTTGTGTCCGATCCGATACAGTGAAAAATCTGTTAATAACACTGGCAGTTAAGAATGAGAGCTGAACCAAACCACAAAATCTTAATATAAGGAGAGTAAGAGACCACTTGGGTTTTTTTTGGGGGGGGGGGGGCTGGCAGGGAGGAGATAAGCTATTTCCAGATTTATTTAAATGTTTTCTTCCATTTGACTTACGTATGCACACTGAAGGTGATCCGATCCACTGCCCATCCGCACCGCATCGTATGCTCCCAACACCAAGTCTCGCCTTGTAGCCCTGTGCGCACGTGTAGGTAACCAGTCCGCCTGCGCCTTGCGTCACTCGTGCGTTCTCGATCCGGGGTGCCAGCCCGCACGTCGCAGTCGATCGCACCGCTCGCACCGCTCGCACACACTGCGATAGCTGGTTGCGCCAGCGTGTACCGTCGCAGTAGGTCACCGTGGACCCGGGGCCCTGGGGCTCAAACCCGGTGTGGCAGCGGTGCCAACGGACCGTTCCTCCGTTGTATCGACTCACCGAGGAGAATGGTACAACGGGTGCGTCGTCTTCCGAACATCCCCCAGCTGATTACCAAGAACAGGAGAGATTTCAAATCATTTCACATCGACTTTGTTTTGTTAACAATTTTGTAAGTTTGGTGGTGAAAGTTTGACGAAAAAAAATCAATGAAGTGATACAAAAGGTATTGAAAAAGTCTTTGTTAATTTTATCCCACAAATTCGGGCGCATGGTTAAAGATAACATACTGCTTAGCAATTTATGCGATAAAACATGAATCAGCTTGGATTGTATAGTCACATCGTGTAATAATTGAAAAGAATGGCTGGTATGGTAACCTGTGTCAGCTGAACATAATTATATTCTGTGCTTCGCAATTTCTATGCTTAACGCCTCCATGAAACCGGCCCCAAGGCAAAACTGAGGCCTACTGGCAACTATATTTTAGGTGGGCAAGTGGTTAATTTGACGAAAAGTCAACAGCCCTGAGTGTGATCCATTCATGTCGCTTTCCCTTTATGAGCACTTAACCACATACCCGTGCAAAAATGTAACACCAGGAAGTAAAATGGAACCAACAGGTGTACTGGGTTTAGTTATCGCTCATCTCAAAACAAGATGTTAAACTTTGCATAAATTTATAATATTGATTTTTGTTTGGATAAAATAAATGCCAGCGAACTGATGATACAATGAAAGCAGGTGCACTCGCTTAAGTCCCATGTAAGATTAGTCCCTAAATCAGGATCAGATTTGACCTTGCACTCCTCTGGGTATAATAAATAAACCATTCTTTGGTGTCAAACTGAATTTTCTTTATCAAAAGGACAATTATCATGTCAAAATGAAACTTTTCTGGGTCGCGTTTAAATGGCAAGGAAAAGTGGCTTGGAGAAGTGTAACTTTTTAACATAAAGAAAATGTCAAGTCAATATCCAAACTTGACCCGAATCTGGGTCGAATCTGTACGGACCTTCTAAAAAAATGGGACATATTTTCACCGTGTAACCTATTTTTGACATTTCTCTCATACTCGTGGTATTGACAAGATAATAATCAAACTTGCACCCAGCCGATTATATAGCTGAAGTTAGCTATTTTTCCGGTGGTGGTCAAAACAAATTATTTTTAAGCATGTACCGACGTTGACGAGATTTCTTACCCGAGCAGACCGGTGTGCTACCGCTCCATCTCCCATTCTCCTGGCAGTGCCTTTCGCGACTACCGAACGTGTACATCTGGTACCCCTCGTCACACGAGTACGAGACGGATGCGCCGTGGTTGTAGGCCTCATAGCTGCCGTTCTCGATGCCGGGCGGCTGGTCGCATGGGGGTCTGTCATTCTCCCCAGAATCAATTCGGTCTGATGAGTAAAAACAAAAAAAATATGCCACAAAATAAAATTTCTAAAAAACAAAATGTTTGCAGAAAAAAATGTGTGATGCGCGCGGCTTGTGATTGACGAAAATGTTTCAGTGCTGATTCTATGTTTCAGTGCTGATACTAATGAATTAACATTTATAATTATATTCTCAGGGTCCCGTGGAAGACCACATTATGTGTGAACAGGCTACCCTGATAAATGATCAGAAATAAATAAATAAATAAAAAAATAAGATTTACACTAAAGTGTTCCGGTGTATTCCTCCTCATCTATAATGCATATACCCTTAATACTATGGCCAGTATTATAATGATTTTGTGTGGGCATTCACTGGCAAAACATTCATACACAATGTAGCCCAGGTTGGACGAAGTCTTCATTGCAATCCCTCCGTAACGTAGGGAGGAAAGGGAGTCCACCAGGGCTAATACACAATGCAAACAACAAAATAGACAACCGGTTAGACGAACACATGGATAGAGATGTTAAAAACATGGTTTGTTCAAGCAAAGCGTCGAGCCTTTTGCATGCGGGTGCATGCTGACATCGGAGAGATGAGTAGGTGTGTGTCCCTAGAAAAGTCACTTTGCTCCAATACATTTTTTTTCCACCGATAAATTCGTACTCTGTTGTTGTTACATGTATAAAGACTAATCGGGTGATCACACTGAGAAGACATTACCGCGAGGTACACGATATAGTAACCTCACTAATCTTGCGCGCAGGTCGCTTGTATACGGCAACTAGGCAAAAAGCCCAATCTTTAAAGCTTATTAACAATGGTCAGATTCTTATAAGGGTGACTGAGTAATTAAAACCATAGATGATACAGGTTGGCAGCAAATACCTGCTGCTGAAAAACATGTTCCTTAAAAGGTGAAGCAGCCCATCCCCACCGCCCCCTCCATCCCACTTCAAGGCGCCACCACTCAGATGTGCCACTGAGTCGAACAACACAATATGTAGCGCATACACAATGCTTACAAGATAAGGGAAGAAGACAGTATGAGCCAATTGCTTACCGTTCTGTGCTGTGACCAATCGGAGCCGTGTTACGAGGCAGACAGCGACCCACATCACAAGACAACCACGCCACGCCATCCTTAACCCTCAGTTCCACGAGTATCCACACAGTTTAGAAATATCCTCTCGTGAAAAAAACCTCTCTCTCTAAACAGTTCTTCAGACTGGAGTGGATCAGTATGCGACGCCACAAGCCAAGAGCACAAGCCTTACAGTGGTGACAAGGAGGAAATACCGAAAACACACCAGCTTGCACTTTGTGCATGCTATGGGCTGTTACGGTATGTTGGCAAAGTGACATGCCAGCAAACCCGGAACTTTACCAGAGTGAGAGACCACCGGAAACAAGGGATCACTACAAGGGCAGCAGCACGAGTGCTCGTGTAGGCGTGTACAGACCGAGACCTTGATGAGAGGTTGGTTCGCGAAGCACCAATCGTGCACGCCGGTCGCTTAGTAAACAGCTGGTATTTATACGGATGTTGAAGTTCTTCAACGTACTTGCTTCTTATCGCAGGACTTAACATTTCTGAAAGAGAAAATCGGCCCGGGATTGGTAGAGATAGTTGTTAGTTGGACAAAATACCCTGGTAAGTTCAATTTATTGGAACTTTGATCGGTAAGAATGTGCAATGGTAAAATAATTTTAATGCGAAAAACACAGAGGCCCTATGGTGCTAATAAGTGGGGTAAATATTAAGGCGAGGTACGGGGGATCCCCTCCGCCCTTCCGCTTGCGGACCTTTGCCCGTTCCTGTGCCTTCACTCAGAAATTAGTTCCCTTTCCAGGAAATAAGGACCTCCTGAAGTACCTCCCTGCAAAATGGACCCTAATACGCCACTGGCGCATAATTATTGCTGTACTGGTACATTTTTGTAACTGCCTTTATAACCTTAAAGGGGCACTAGGTCCTGAAATCCCCGAAAATGTTATGTTTTGGATTGTTTACTTAGCCTATTTCAAACATCTGGTTGAAAGGAAACCAACCTAATATCTTACCATTCCTGAAAAAAAGACCAACAAAAACCGCTTGTTTACATCAGACATGACAGAGTACGAATATGTTTTTCGTGTCGTTCTCATGTACGCTATACACGTTGTGTGTCTCGGGAACAGCACGCGGTGACCAATCACCAATGCAAAAAATTGTGGTTTCTTCAACTTTACGCGTACGAATGAAATCACAACTAGCATCCAAACAGCTCGAATATATGGGGTAGCAAAAGTGGACCCTGAAATTCGTTCTCGCACGCATAATACAGGAATAACACAAAAACGCCCAATTTTGAAACGATAGTTGTGTGGATGTAGGCCTATATATCTTACTTTTAAAAGTTATTTCCGATTATCATCATCTCGTTCAAAGCGTGTTTTGTAGCCCAATTGGGCAGTTCCAGGACCTAGTGTCCCTTTAACAATAAACATCAAAAATATTGTTTGGTATAAGAAGAAATTAAAAATCATTTTTCCGGTTATATGATCAACTTGCATATTTAGTCCATTATTATCAAATGTCAGCTTCATATTATACACAGATTTCTGTTTAATCAAATATAATAGTCATCTGTTATGGAATATGCCTCTGCCGATAAAGTTTGATAAAGGCATGTATTTCCTGTTAGGCCTACTTGTGATAATGACTTGTGTCTTCAATAAAGACATAAGGTTGACTTGTGATCGACTAAGTACAGCTTTGAAAACATGTTTTAATCGGCATGCTGTCGGGAAAGCTTTCACTATTTTGTAAAGAATCTCGTTTGAAATATACCTAATCTTCTTCAACATGTTCAAGGGCGCAAACTTAATATACAACTGCCTTATGCTGACTTACGATGACTTTGTGGGGAGAATATTCAAAGCACGTAGGACCGTGGAAGAACCCTGATACAGTGACCCAAACGGTTAGTTTTGTCAACCACCGGTGATAAGAGCGGGTTTTCCCTGTAGCTTTCTCCCCATGGAACACGCTAGCTCCGGCTTCCGCCAACGAGTTTCCTGTGATAAACAAACATTATCAAATCTGCAGAATGTACAGTCGATCGATTTACCATGAAGTTGAAAATTCACAAGAGAATCACTCCATGTAAAGTTTTAAATGGTGAAAACATCTGGTGATTTTACTGGTGATATTAAAGGAGCCAAGCATGTGTTTTTGATGGATGGATTATCGTATGCCGTCCAGGTACACAGAAACACTTTTTTATATTGTGATCAGAACCATGAACCCACTGAGAAAGTGCTTAGAAAAATAAAGGCTGTGTTTCCAGCATTGGATATTTGTTACTCATGAAAAAGATGGCATATTTCCGAGATGGCATATTAAATTATCTTTTACTTAAAATAATATCTAGTGTGATAACCGGGTAGTGGGTGCTTCAATGTGTGTTGTTATTTGCTCAGTGCGTTTTTATTGAGAGAGAGAGAGAGTAGTATAGTGCGAGCCTTTCACACCCGAGTTTCAAGGTACTGTCTTTGCACAGCAATAAATCCTTAAAAAAACCTTTGTAACTACATGTACATCTTTTCACTTATGTTTTTTTTATGCAATAGAGTATAAACTCAGTTTGACTTCCTGAAAAACATTGGTGTGTTGGTAAATAAAATGAGAGTTTCTGTCGATTTTAATTTTGACAAGATTTGTTAAAGGTCTTGTCCCTGAAAAGTTGCTCTGGTGATGTGAAACGCATATTGATGGCAAGGTTGAATTTTTTTTCGTTGCTTAACCATTTAGCGTGCCCACGCGGAACTTACAAGTCCACCTGTGAGCCCACGGACGGATGCACCCCGTGCCCGCCTGACTCGACCACAGCCGCTGAGGGCAGCAAACTCCTAGGAGCGTGCTTCTGCAAGGAAGGCTACGAGGGGGATCCCATGCGTGGGGAGTCCTGCAGGCGTAAGTGGGATTTTGAATTCCGGTAGTCGGGTTTTTTTTTCAGGTGAAGTTGCCGCGTTCTCGAAGAGGGTATCAGGATGAAGCTCAGTATAAAGCGTTGACGGACTAGGGAGAAGAGGCTCGTATATAGGCACAAAATGCATGTTCCAGAATTTAAAATTCATGTCATGGTCCATGGTCATGGTATCATACAAACCAAACAGGTGCCGGTGTGTGGTACTCCCTCACCCTATCACAAGTTTCCGTAAAATGAAGACAAGGCAAGTCCAGCTTGTTCCAGAGCGAAACATTTCTGTTCAAACGATTCCGAATAGCTACTCACTTGAAGTCTCCCGTGCTTGAGGCCTACACGATGGGCAGGATTTAATAATAATAATGTGATGCTCCTATATAGCGCTTTATACCAAAGGTCTCAAAGCGCTTCACAATTATTATTACACCTGTTCATCAGGGCCTTGGGACCATTTTTTGCAGCAGCTCCAGATCAGCGCATTCTGGTCTTTACTTTTACATGTACGCATTTATACTCCTGGGTGGACAGAGGCAATTGTAGTAAAGTGTCCTGCCACAGAACACAAGCATTATGTTCCCCGTCAGGGTTCGAACCCACGTACCACAGCACGGGAGGTCGAACACCGGAACCATTGGACCACAGCGCTCCACAGTGCCAATTTATTGGCGTCATACGAAGTAACCGTATTTCAAACGTTTGGGACGAGACGAGACTCCAGCAAGGCTAGTTCACAAGTGATAGCCAGTGGCTAAATCAGTAAGGTACAACCAGGACTATTGATTGGCCCAGCAAAAATCCAGATTAAAAAAAAAAAATTGATATGCTATGTTTGCATGTTACTTCCCAAAAGCTTCGATTTTTAAGTTGAATAGTTATTCCGACGTTCATTCCGTATGTCTTGCACATAATTTTTCATCGGCAATTTTTTTTGCACCAAGGCCGGTTCATACAGCGAACGCAAACGCCATTTTGTGACACCGCGGTTAAGTTGAACACATTTCGAATTTCGTTATGTGAATGTTTTGTGGCGTCAAATCCGCTTTGCACATGCATTTGCGAAAAGTGAGAACCAGCCTTTATTGCGATCATAATGGATATGAAAACTCACCCTGTTGTTGTGTCATCGTCTACAGTGGTGACCTGCCCGATTTTGACGTCTCCTAGAAATGGCCAGATTTTGCCGTCCCCCTGCAGCAACAAGTACCAATCAGTGTGCTCGTTTCAGTGTGACATCAGCTACGAGCTGGAGGACGCGGCCCCGGCCAAACGCCGATGTCAGGCCAACGGCCACTGGACAGAAACAACACAACATTGTCGAAGTAAGATTATCTTGTAATTCCAACATCCAATCAAATAAATAAATGTTTATAAAACACAATCTGAGTCCCCAAGTAAGGGGTCTGAATGCTCCTGAAACCGAAGCCGGGACGAGGCAGATAATTCAAAATCCCGACAATAATTCTGTAAAACCTTTATAATTACCCAATCTTTTAAATGACTAACTGGAATGAAAGTTTGCATAAGCTTTCTAAGCAACAGCTACTTCATCGGATGCAATGAAGAGAGGCATCATCATAAATGCGATTGATTGAAGGATATCTAAAGTCATCAATTGGGAAAAAATTGATGAAGTCTCTTACATTTTGTTGTTTGAACCTCCGCCTTCTGCATTGCCACTGTCCCTTTTGGTCACAATTTTTGGAGAGGTTTTTGCCGTCTGTACTATAAATGTTACTGGCATTAAATGATTTACCAGTAAGATCTGTATTTTTGGGGTCTTCCACGGTTCCAGGGCTGTCATCACTGTGAATACTTGGGGCTTGCAAATCCAACTTTTTGACACCTTCCTCCATTTGCAGAGAAATCAGGTGCTGGTTTGGGTCATCAAGAGACAACTGATCTTCAACTAAACTTTCCTCCGCCTCATTTGGAATATTTTCACACACACGTCCTCTGAGCATAATTGTATTGTCTTGCAGAGTGCCCTCAATCACAGTCACCCCGGTTTGCTGGGTAAATGGTGATATTCAGTTTCGGTGCAGACAGCATTCCTCCTGAAGTCATGAAGTGCGGTGGTTCTGCCCTGTCAACTGAGCTTCTTAACGTATTGCAACTGTGCTGGCACTCACGCTGTCTACCACAAGACCTAAAGGATGCAAATATTATCTCTTCAAAAACAAAGGTAGCAGACAAGATTGTAACAACTACAGAGGCATTTCCTTGTTGAGCATAGCCGGCAAGGTTCTCGCCCGTGTACTACTTCCCAGGTTACTGGTCATCGGTGATAGAGTCCTTCCAGAGAGCCAGTGTGGGTTTCGTGCCTCCCGCTCAACTGTCGATATGGTTTTCTCCCTTCGACAGCTACAGGAGAAGTGCATTGAGCAACTACGCCCGCTCTACGTCGTATTTATCGACCTGACGAAGGCTTTTGACTCTGTAAGTCGCTCAGGCCTGTTCTTCATCTTGAAGCGCCTGGGCTGTCCAGACACACTACTGCAGTCAAGCTCATGCAGGACGGAAAGTTGTGGCAGAAAGGCTAATGCATCGGAGCACACTTCTACATCGCTAGCAAAGAGGGAGCTGTAGTGGTCCAGCGGTCCAGCTGTGCTGATGGATCAGTAATAGCTATGCCAGAAGCTGACAGCAGTGGAGCACTCTTCTTTGGGGTAGGACCGATGGCCTCTTTAATACCATTGTACAGGCCACGAAGATCCCCAGAGTCAGCGCAGAGTTGGATGCGGGCACTGAGACCAGTCAAGTAACGGTAGAGGGCGGTACGGACAAGGCGTTGAACGTTACTCTACATAATGACGGACTATTAGGGGGCTACATTTAAACAATTTCGATGGATTTTTGCCGGAGGTAATGACGGCAAACTAACGTTTACTAAAGGTTTGCCGGCGGCAATCCATATCAACAGAGGGCGCTGTACTCTTTAAGATAGGGCTGAATTATAAGATGTATTAAATTCCCACCAAAAAGCACGTTTGGTGTAGTGGTTGAGCAAAGGCTTTAGTGAACGGGATGACTCGGGTTTGATCCCGAACCCCGCCACATTTTTAAGTTTTTTTCTTCCCATCCCCAAATAAGTAAGAATATTCTTCTTTTATTATTTTAACATGTCTCAAACATTTTATTGCAAAGTATGACATTTTCTTTTTCAGATTTGTGGCTCTGGAGGATTTTTTTTAAAGGGAAATAAAGTCCGAAATTATAAAATGGTCTGAATCCCATCTTGTGAATACGAGGTTCCAACGATAATATTGGCATGGAGCCAGACTAAAATTTGTCATCAGAAAATGTTAAAGTAAAAAAAAAAACAGTAACTGCGCATGTTCAGTGCATATCCGGCAAACTAACGTTTACTAAAGGTTTGCCGTCTCCGGCAAAATATCCACTGCCAACAATTATTTTAACTAGCGGGATGCCGCGCTTCGCGCGGCACCCGCTAGATGGGTGGAGTTGACTGTTTCGTAATAATTACTGTATACAATGAAATCTCGATAATTTAAACTCCAATAACTCCAAACAACTGTTAAGTCAAATAAAGAATCAGACCCTCTGCTGCACGCGAGCCTATTTGGACTCGCCATTAGTCTCGCCCAAGTTGTATTTGCGTTTAGCAACGTGCGCGCACATAACATTTCCTGCAGAGATTGTGCGAGGGTCCAGGACATATTGTCAATATAGGGGAAGGGGCTAGCTAGGGTGAAGGGTGCTAGTTGGAACGCCCAATTTCCGTAAAACCCGTCAACCGTGTCACCAATATTTCCGGGGATGGGGAGAAATATTTCCAGGGATGGGGAGAAATGGTTTTTGTTATAGAGGGGAGATGGTGACATTGAAATTGTTGATATTGTGGGGGTTTATGTTTGTGCTGGGATTCATACCGTTTAAATGTTGTTTTAAATTGCGCGCCAATTAGGAAGGTCTTGCTGTCAACAGTTGAATGAAATTAAGTATTTATTGCCGACCGATTGTCTCATGCGATGTCTCATTATATAAAGCTCATAAATAATGTTGTGCTAGAATATTGTCCAGTCAATTTGAATATTGAATTTTCAAGGTGCCAAACCATTAAGGACGTATACACCAACTGTACAAATAGGTAATTTAGATGAAACGCGGTTTGATCTTGGCCTATACAACGTCGTATCCATCGTTCTCACTACAGAGGAGAGAAGGGGGCAGCCAGTGGGGGTGGGGGTTGAATATTGTGTGGGCGTCGCCAGGATTTTTTCTAGAGGGGGCAAAACATATTTTTGCCCCAAAAATGCCTGTTTTTCTCAACACATTCTCGATTTATCAGTTTCAGAGGGGGGCAGGGACATTTTGCCCCCCCCCCCAACCCATTAAATTCACACCACTATGACTTCACGCCCCCCCTTTTTTTTTTGCTTTTATGGAGTGCCCCCCCCCCCCTTCGCGACGCCCATGCCTATTTATGTTACACCTGTGAATGGTCACTTATATTTCCGGGGAAGTGGGCAACAATTTATATTTGTTATGGTGAAGGGGGTGTTTCTTATTAAAGTAGAAGTTAATGTCATTATAGCAGTTGGTGTTTTTATTATGGTGATGGGGTTGTACAGCAAAGTATTGTAACACGTTTATTTGCAGAAGAGAGTAAAACTAAAAGAAAGGACATATTGGAGCACTTCATAATTATGTCAAGCATCACATGTTAAATGTATTTATTATAAAACTGTGAAAATGAAATCAGGTATACACGAATTTTTTTAGTAATAATGTATTTGCATTCATTACTGTACAGGGTAGTACTTCGACAAAACTCAGGGGATATAATTGTAGTCAGTTTTCGGAGCAATTTTCGCAAGGGACGTCGGTCCAGGCTTGTTAACCATAGGCACAAACATTCCATGAAAGACTTTCAAGCAAGACGGCCAAAGGTTATTATGCAAATGCAGTTTTTTGTGTTAAAAGCTGTAATCATAAATAATGACAGTGGCATTGTAAGTTACAGGACAACATTTTTTTAATGAGTGTTGGTGAAAACTCATGAGAAATGGAGGGGTATGCGAGTATGAATATTTCGTTGTGAAATTTTAAGAGTGATTATGTAATTTGGTAATCAAAGACATTGTTTTGTTATCAAATAAGTTTGCCAGGATCGACACAGTCTGCTTGGCCAGTAATTATCGGGTAATCATTCCATCATTATTCATGGGTACAACTAAGCCAAGGATATAATTTTAAAAAAAGGATGGACATAAAACAGCAGAAAAGAGTGATTTTTTTCATGACTTCTAAAAATAAAATTATGGCTAGAAGGAAAATGTGTTTTGAATGGGTAAAGAGAAAAAGCAGGAATCTTGCAGTTGAACTGGAAAGAATAGGTGTGTCACGTCTTCGTCTTGAGTTGAGATTCTTGCTTTGGGAACTGGTTGAAGCATGCACTGGAGCATGCTTGGAGCATGGTTGGAGCTGGTCATGTGATGTGGGTGTCATCGGGAGTCCTGTGTAAAGGAGTTAGAAAGAAAAGAATAACGACTAAGGTGAAGAAAACTTGTAAAACAAATACATCGGCTAACAATAGCTACAAATAAATTAGACAGGTGTTGCAATACCCCATTTATGCGGAATGCACTACTGAAGTACTAACCAAACATGCCAAACAACGAAACATGTCTTATATGTTGTATTTTAGTGACCCCCCCCCCCCGCATATGATTTTATCTCAGCAGAACAGCAGAGACACTGAACAGTCATCAATGTATTAGTTTCCTCTTTATCCTGCTTGGGTTCATGTCTGTTGTCGAGTCATTTGATTTTCTGCCAGAGTGTATTCTCTAATTTCCACTATTCTAACTGTGTTGGTTTCAAGTTTTAGTCTTCGCCTGTATTTTTTGGTTTTTGGCCTGAGGTTTGAACTTGATCACGTCTTTAATTTTGATTTGAGGGTTTCTTTATTAAGTTGGTTATTGGTCTTTGATTTGCAGTAAATTAATTTTGTTTTGCCTATGAGTATGAAAGTCATTTCTTTAAAGGAAGTTTTGAGTATGATTTGCCGTGTTCTAAGATTACCACAAAGATTTAATTTGCATCATTTGTATGGAATGAATGTACATTTCATGGCCTATATACAAATGCAGCATTTTTTTTCTAGCTAGTAGGCCTATAGGCCTAGGCCTAAAACAAACTAAAGCAAAATCCAAAAACAAACTACAAACAAAGCCCAATTGTGAAATCAAAAGTTGGCAAAGTTCTACAAACATGTTCGGGTACATGTTCCAAGTGAGGCCTGTATTTACGGAGGTCATGCAGTAAATTGGCCACATTAAGCCTAGCTAAGT